TTCGCTTACTACAATTGCTTAACCACCATCCACCGGATGTCGGTTCATCACGGTTATTGGACAAGCCGTCTGTCAAACTACGCTATCCAGGGTCTTAATGCAAGGCCGTTGAACCCCAGGGTTTTCTTATCTGCAGTTCTGTGCGTCACAGCTGCGAGAGCCTCGATCAACCTAATAAAGTATATCCCGCAAGGAGACTTTGCTTGTGTCTGGTGAGTCCCGTGATGAATGGAATTCTATGAAACGTTCCTAGCTAATTAATCAGGTTGATCCTCTACTATCCCGTCTCCGCATTGGTTACATTATTTGCCAACATCCTCCAAAATCCAAATGACGCCCGGGCTCGTTCAGATGTGAAGTTGATGAATGTCGTCGTCAACTTCTTGTCCACGCTTGTATCGGATGAATCTAACGGGAGCATCAAACGCATGCTTGGTCTATGCGGAGAGTTCGAGCGGATAGCCAAGGTGGTGCTCGATAAAGCCGAACGAGAGTCTCATTCCAAGAAGAAGCGCAAGACAGCGCCAGACGATACCGCCCCGAGTCAACCCCAACAACGAAACGCCCCGCCACCGTCGTCTTCTCGGAATCCTGCTAGTGCACCGCCTATGACAACACCGTTATCCTCGCCGCTCTTCTCTAATGATGCGGCGCCTAATGGGCAAACTAATGGACAGTCTAATGGGCAAACCGCCTTTTCTCCTAGTACAGCAATGCCAACGGACACTGGTCTACCTGGCGACCTCCCCAGCAACGTCAACACCATGTCCGGGTTAGGACAAGACTTCCAGGAGATGTTGAGTCCCAACAATATCGGAAACGTCGGGTTCGATCAACCTTTCGGGGGAGCTGGAAACAATCCAATGTCCTCGTTTCAACAACCGTTTGTCCCACAAGATCTGTGGCAGATGCCAATGACCATTGAGTGGGACTGGGCCGACATGTCGAGCAATTTCCCGGTGTTCGACTCGGGAATGGACTCCAATGGCCCACCGCCGCCGAACGAATCGTGATTATGAGACATGAATAAACTGATAATTGGGCCGAAAGTCTCACAGACTAGGTTTTGATTGAATGGAGTTTACGGAGTTGGGAAAGGCGCTTCTGTTTCTTTGATCATTTTCTTGCTGGCACTTGAAATCTGTGGGATACTAGGCGCACCGTGTTCTGTCTCTACACTCTACCAACCACTCCACTTCGTGAAGATATGTCTTGGGTAAATAATATTGATTTTGCTGTGGCATGTCTGGGGCCGAATTCACCTGAGACGGACAGGCAAAATGTAATTACCGCAAAAATGCTTTAGAACTACCCTGTATACCATATAATGATGATATCTCAATTCAATCCTAGCTTTATTTCATTCTCATTAAAAATCCGTAAAACGTCCATTGCCTTCGCTGCGATTCTGCGATTCTGGCCTCGAAAACCAGGCGGATGACTCAGCCGGCGGCGGAACCGCGAAAAATCCCGGCCGACGTGAAGGCGTCACTCCGAACCCGATTTGATTAGGCAGACCACCAGCAGCTCTCTTCACGAGCTTCAGTCGTGTACCTTTACCTTTTATCCCTTCAATTCTTCAATTAGAATACCCACGGGGCTTGAGAAACTTATCACTGTCGAACTAGTCGTCCTAACTGTCCCCGCACAAGCCAAGCCGTTTCCCACCAACGCCCATCTGGGCTCACCTTTCCTACGACCATGGCCACCTCAATACTCCGACGGCCAGGCAATCTCGCCCGCTACTCAAGAACCGCCGCAGAATGCATCCCCCGCGCACGCCCAATCCCTACATACACCCGCCAATCGAGACTATCAGCCCTCATCACCGCGCACCGGAGCACAAGATGCTATACCACCGGAGGCCCCGGAGGCCCGCAACGCAACGACCAGAACGGACAGAACATCCCCGGCCAAAAGCCTGAGAACGGAGGTGATCCGAACCGGAATAGCAAAGGGCCCGAGGAGCCGCCATCGAAACTGAGCAAGGAAGAGCAGGAGGGGTTGGATAAGCTGATATCGAATTTGAAGGAGGGGGTGCCGCCATCGCAGCATCAGTTGCTGGATGATATTCGGACGGTGTTGATGAGTGAGGGGTTACCGGAGGAGGTGAGGGATTATATTGCGGAGCATGTTCGGTCTGGGCAGGTGCCGTCGCTTATGGATTATGTCAAGTTCACGCGGTATGTGTCGAAGAATATGAAGACTTATGCGGCGAAGATGGAGGAGTTGAAGAGGAAACGGGAGCAGGGGATGAAACCGGAGGAGGCCGAGGAGGAGCAGAAGAAGGAGGAGAAGGAGCAGGAGGGAGAGCAACAACAGCAGAAGCAGCAGAAGGGCAAGGATCAGTGGAATAAGTCGCCGAACTTTAGGACCCTTGAGTTCCGATTTGATCCCGTTACGACTTTGATTAGCACGATATTGGCATACTATGTCTATCAGAGCTTCTTCCCCGGTGAAGGTAGAAAGGAGATTACATGGCAGGAGTTTAGGGCGAATTTCTTCGACAAGGGTCTTGTGGAGAAGTTGACCGTCATAAATGGTGCTCGTGTCCGGGTTGATCTCCATCGCGATGCCGTGGCCAATGTCTACCCCGATTCCCCGGCAAGCGAGCAATCCTTCCATTACTACTTCACCATCGGATCAGTTGAGAGTTTCGAGCGCAGACTGGATGAGGCTCAGAACGAATTGGGTGTTCCCAGCATCGAGCGGGTTCCTGTCGCCTACCAGGATGAAGTTTCTTGGCTTGCAACCGTTGCATCGTTTGGTCCTACTCTTTTGCTGATCGGTACTTTCTTCTGGTTGTCGAAACGTGCTGGTAGTGGAGGCGGTCAGAGTGGAATCTTCGGCATTGGGAAGAGTCGTGCTAAGCGCTTCAACCATGAGACCGATATCAAGACCAAGTTCTCGGATGTGGCTGGCATGGACGAAGCAAAGGTTGAGATTATGGAATTCGTCAGCTTCCTTAAGCAGCCGGAGAGGTTCGAAAAGCTGGGTGCTAAGATCCCTCGTGGTGCTATCCTTTCTGGTCCTCCTGGTACTGGTAAGACGCTGCTGGCCAAGGCGACCGCTGGTGAATCCGGTGTTCCCTTCTTCAGCGTCAGCGGTTCGGAATTCGTCGAGATGTTCGTCGGTGTCGGTCCCTCTCGTGTCCGTGACCTTTTCGCCAACGCCCGGAAGAACACGCCCTGTATCATCTTCATTGATGAAATCGACGCCATCGGTAAGTCGAGAGCCAAGCAGGGTTTCGGCGGCGGCAACGACGAGCGTGAGAGTACCCTGAACCAAATCCTTACGGAGATGGACGGTTTCAACACCTCCGACCAGGTCGTTGTCCTGGCTGGTACCAACCGACCGGATGTTCTTGACAAGGCTTTGATGCGTCCTGGTCGTTTTGACAGACACATCTCTATTGACCGACCGACTATGGATGGCCGCAAGCAGATCTTCCGCGTTCACTTGAACAAGATCGTTACTAGTGAGGATATGGAATACTTGTGTGGTAGATTGGCGGCTTTGACTCCGGGCTTTGCTGGTGCTGACATCGGAAACTGTGTCAACGAGGCAGCTCTTGTTGGTATGCTATCCTTCTTTCTCTCACTTTGAATGCACAGTGCTAATAGTCTACAGCGGCCCGTGAAAACGCCAACAAGGTGGTCATGAAGCACTTCGAGCAAGCCATCGAGCGTGTCATCGGCGGTCTCGAGAAGAAGTCCGTCGTACTCTCGCCCGAGGAAAAGCGCACCGTCGCCTACCACGAGGCTGGACACGCCATCTGCGGCTGGTACTTCCGCCACGCCGATCCCCTGCTCAAGGTCTCCATCATCCCTCGAGGCCAAGGCGCTCTAGGATACGCCCAATACCTGCCCGCCGGCGGAGACACCTACCTCCTGAACGTCAACCAGCTCATGGACCGCATGGCCATGACCCTAGGCGGCCGCGTCAGCGAAGAACTCCACTTCGACACCGTCACCAGCGGCGCCAGCGACGACTTCAACAAGGTCACCCGCATGGCAACCGCCATGGTAACGAAATTCGGCATGTCCCCCAAGCTCCGCTACATCCACTACGAAGAAGACCAGCAGCAATTCCAAAAGCCCTTCTCCGAAGAAACAGCCAAGGACATCGACATGGAAGTCCGCCGCATCGTCGAAGAAGCCTACAAGAAGTGCCACAACATGCTCGTCGAGAAGAAGAAGGAAGTCGGTATGGTTGCGGAGGACCTCCTCTCCAAGGAGGTTCTCTCGCGTGATGATCTGATCCGTCTTTTGGGTCCCAGACCCTGGCCTGAGACTGGTGAGTTCGCGAAGTACTTCGATGGGCGCACCGTGCAGCCGCCGGAGTCTCCGCAAATGCCGACGGAGGAGCTTGAAGGGAAAGATGGGAGAGACCAGACTCCTATTCCGCCATCATGAATGAAATACGTATGGGTTTGAGATATCACTTGGGCTTTTTCTGTGTTGTATTTATTTGAGACGGTGCATTTCCTTTTTTTCTCCTCTTTTCATTTACCCTTTCTCATGTTGATGTTGATTCCTCACCATGTCATAAATATTAGAATCTTCTTTTTTTTCTATTTTCTCTTTTCTTTTTGGCATCGTTGCTTCTCCCCTCCGATTCCCGTCTTTGTTTCCGTTCCTCGTTCCTCTTTATCACCGATTTGCCTATGTGGACATTCACATGTATTCTATTGTATAGTAGGCAGTTATTCCTATCAAAAACTATTGAATGGTTGAATGATATACTTTGTCCTTATTTTTGCGTGAAGGGTGGCCGACTTTGGTGACCGAGGTTCCGGCACGTAAATATATATATCGGTTGTGGACGAAGGATTAAAGCAAGATTAAATATTTTCAAACGAAAGCACTTAAATCAAATTGTCACTCCTAGTAAATAAATTACCTGAACAGAAGACTACGTATTCAATATATATAACCCGAACCAAAAGGAAAACGAATAACCGAAAAAAAAAAAAAAAAAAAAAAAAAATCCTGGTTCAGACACTCACCAACCAAATAATAACCCCACAATCACACCCTTACTTACTCTTCCTCTCCTCGACAGCAGCACCCTCACCCGCCTGCTCAGTCTTCGCCTTACGGGCCTTCTTCTTACTGCTACCCTTGTACCTAGGCTCAACCGAGAACCGCGGAATAAACTGTCCCACACGAGCCTGGTACTCACTGTACTCGGGATACTTGCTCGCGCTAATCGACTCAGTAAGAGGAGTGCTACCCTGGAAGATCAGCAGGTAGCCCAAGACACCAAGACCAGTCCACTGGAGATAGCTCTCGGTGCGATAGGCGTTCCACAGATACATTGTGAGCCAGACAGCCTGTTCAGCGGCAAAGTTGGGGTGACGAGACAGGGACCAGAGACCGGAGACGACGAATCCGCGCTCCAGGTCCTCGGGGGTGAATTGACTCTTGTAGGGCTCGGGGATGCGTGCGTTCTTGTGGTACTCGTGCTTGGCCTGGTGGAAGTTCCATTGCTGCTGGTCGGCGAAGTACTCGATGATGATGAGGGAGAAGGCGACGCGGGAGAAGATCAGGTCGGGGAGTTCGAAGACCTGCGCATCTGGCAGTTGCGACAGGATGATGAAGTTGTAGGTCGGGGTTGTGATGAAGAGGAGGAGCAGGGATTGGGCGAGGGAGATAAAGACGATGTTGAAGATGAAGAAGAGGAAGCGGTTGTTGACTTTGGACTGGATGATTTCCCAGCGGTAGTCTTGGGAGCCGATTTTGTAGCCGCCTTTGCGCCAGTAGTTGAAGGTCAAGCGGAGCTGCGCGGGTCAGTAACCATGAAGAGTAAAGATGATGGGGTGATATGGGATAGTGAACTGACACTCCAGATCACCGAAACAGCAGCAATAGTATCCAAGCTCAGCGTGCGCACCCCCGCCAAACGCGCCCAAACCGCATAATGCACATTATAGACAGCTGGCAAGAGACTCCAGCACCGGTCGACTTGCGAGTAGTTCCGGTTAATCTCCGACCAAACAAGGAACAGAGCAGACGACGCAAGACAGAAAGTCAGCGCCGTGATAAAGGGGTTCGTGGCGAGGTAGATCTCCTTCAAGGCGACCACATCTCTGCCCGCTTCTTGCAACGCTGTCGGGAGTGATGTCAGTTGCGAGAGGAACGGAAGAACCGTTTGGTCGAAGGAAGCGCAGTCCACTGCCGACTGGACTTCAGGGAGAGGTAGCGACATTGCGAAGGGGTTGGAGGCTGCAGATGGGAGGTTCGTGGGGAACAGTTGGAGGTGGGTTGTTTTGTTATGCGAAGATCGCGCGCTTGCCGGATTAGGAAACGAGCTTGGTGAGTTTATGCCTGGGGTGTCGAGGCCCTAAGGCAATAAGACATGAACATCGCGCACGCGTTTATCCGCGAAGAACCGTCCTTGCCTCCGCCAGCAACTAGAACAGACGGTCATGAATATTATCAAGCTTTGATGAATGCCCTGATGGGACTTTCTCAATATGTCACGAATCCTGTGTGTGGCTGAGAAGCCGGCCATTGCAAAGGCCGTGGCTCAGCATCTGTCCGGAGGTTCCTTTCAAACAGTAAGTATACAAACTTCTCTAAAGAGATCTAAATAAATGCAGCGTGCTAACATATATAGGTCCCCATTCGCGGAAGTCCATATGTCAAGAACTATCTCTTTGACTTCAACTTCGGGAATCCTTGGGGCACCTGCTCAGTTACCATGACCAGCGTTATTGGTCATTTGACGGCCCTCGACTTCGAAAGTCATTTTAGGGGATGGACATCCTGTCCGCCTGGTTCGCTGTTTGAGGCCCCAGTACAAGAGTTTGTGTCCAACGTACGTAACACTACTGTGGTTCGGTACCAAACCGTAACCACTAACCTCTGTACAGGATAAGAAAGCAGTCGCACGAAACATCGAGGAACAGGCTGCGCGATCCAGAGCCCTGTTTATCTGGACCGATTGTGATCGAGAAGGAGAGCATATCGGGACAGAAGTCCGGAAAGAGGCACGACGAGGGAATGCGCGGATTCTGGTTAAGCGGGCGAGATTCAGTAATACTGAAAGGGCGTGAGTAGTCATATCTTGAATCGTTTAGGTACACACTGACAACCTTTCAGTCACGTTCTACAAGCTGCACGGGCTCTGATCGAGCTCGATGAACTCCAGGCCAACGCTGTAGCTGCGAGAATCGAACTCGATCTGCGAATCGGAGCCGCGTTCACGCGCCTACAAACACTACAACTGCAGAACCTCTCACCAATTCTAGCAGAACAACCCATTAGTTATGGTGAATGACTTGAAACCTTTGGTCCCTCAGTTTTTTCTGACAGTTTCCAGGATCCTGCCAATTCCCCACCCTAGGCTTCGTCGTCGACCGCTACCTACGAGTAAAGAACTTCAAACCCGAGAAATTCTGGGGCATAAAAGTCATGCACACCCGAGATAACATCAAAGTCAACTTTCTCTGGAGACGAGTGCATCTCTTCGATAGAGCTGCAGTGACGATCATGCTCGAACGATGTCTGACTGCTAAAAAGGCCAAAGTCGTCAAGGTGAACCAGAAGCCCACGAGTAAGTGGAGGCCTTTGCCGTTGACGACGGTTGATTTGCAAATGATGGGGAGTCGATATTTGCGCATGGACAGTCAAAAGATCATGAAGGTACACCACCGTTTTCGAGTACTTGACATTAGTAGATGCTAACACTACCAAGATCGCAGAGGGCCTCTATACGAAAGGTTTCATCAGCTATCCACGTACGGAAACAGACCAGTTCGACAAGGCCATTGATCTAAAGAAGCTCGTTGAGAAGCAATTCCCCGACAACAACTGGGGTCAATATGCCCGAGAGTATGTCTCCCATCCACAAAGTCAAAACAAGCACTAAAACACTAACGCCTTCCAGTCTCATCAACGGTAAATTCAGAACTCCCCGCTCAGGTCGCCACAACGACCGGGCCCACCCCCCCATCCACCCGGTCTGTTGGGTCGCACCATCGGCGCTCCCCACCGCAGACGATCGAAAGGTCTACGAGTTCGTCGTTCGGCGGTTCCTAGCATGCTGCTCTGAAGACGCAAAGGGCCAAAGCACAGAGATCGAAATCCAGTACGGCGATGAATTTTTCCACGCCAATGGCCTGATCGTCCTGGAAAGAAACTATCTTGATGTATACGTGTACGATAAATGGGAGAGCAGCCAGCAGCTTCCGAAATTCGAACCAGGGGAGATGTTTGAGCCCACGGAGGCTAAGATTTTTGATGGAAAGACATCGCCTCCGAATTATCTGACTGAACCTGAGCTTATTGGTCTTATGGATGCGAACGGTATCGGTACCGATGCTACCATGGCTGAGCACATCGCTAAGATCAAGGACCGGCAATACGTCGCAACACGGAACCGAGGATCGGGTCGGAATTCGGTGCAGGAACTCATCCCGACGCAGCTGGGTGTCGCGTTGGTTGAGGGATATGATAATGTCGTGGCTGGATTGCCGGATAGTCCTTCGTTGAGTAAACCATTTCTGCGTAAAGAGATGGAACTGCGCATGCGAGAAATATGTGCGGGGACCAAGACGCGGCAGCAGGTTGTCTTTGAGAGTCTCGATATGTATCGAGAGGTGTTTATCCATACGCAGAGACGGATTAATATGCTTAAGGATGCTTGTCGGAAGTATCTAATAGAGGGCGCGACGTCGTGATCTCGTTACATACATAGAGGAGTTGAGATCTACAGTGATACCCCAGGTTGGACTAATGGTATTGTTAATGCCAGAAAATCATTTGTTTTATTGAGGCTTGACAAATATGACAGAACAATCAGCAAGCAATGGAAACCAGACCACACACAGAGTCCAATTGCCATGCTTGCCCCAATTGCCATGCTTGCCGCTACATGGAACTCACGCACTCACTCACACTCACACTCACGTAAAACAATTGAGTAAAAAGGGACTTTAGTTAGCCCAAAGCGACGACTTCAACCCCGCAGTCTTGCTGGGCACCGGGGTTGTTGGGGTAGATGCCCATTTTGACGATTCAAGCCCGGCTTTCTTGGGCGCCGGCGACGCTTCCGACATCGAGGCCCATCTTGACGATCTCAACCCCTGGTTTTTGTTGGCTGAGGGGGCTTGTTTTGGTTGGTCCCCCGCCCATCGGGACGACTCTAGGCTGCCTTCCTTGCTGCCTGGGGACGCTGGGACGGACTCGGCCGCAGCCCAGCGCGAGAATCCCAAGCCGGATCTCTTCTCTGGGGCGGGGGACTCTCTCTTCCTCCCTTCCTTGTTCTTTTCCTCCTTTTGCGAGACGACAGGGGCACAGGTATCTGCCTGTGTTAATTCCTCCTGTGTCTCCTCCTTCCTCTCCTCCTGAATATTCCCGACGACGTTGTTAGCAGGGACCTTGACGTCCATAGACACAAGCATCTCCTCAATGCCGTCTCCCGCATCAAGCCGGAACTGGATCCCAAGCTTCTTCATGCACTCGAGGAGGTGGGCATAATTACCCTTGTTACTCCTCTCAAGTCGGTCAAGTCTGGCTGCATGTTCAGCCACAGGATAGACCTGCTCAGCAAGCCACTGTGTTTCAGACTTGAACCGCTCGACGTGATGTTTGAAAGTCTTGGCCAGTTCCTCTAGGCTGATGTTTTTCACGTCCGTGGCATAGCTAAAAAGCTTGCCGTCGTGGACGATGCGCTTCACGATCCGGTTGATCTCGGCATCGTGGTGAGCGACTTTCTGTAGGTTGCTTTCGGCTATGACCAGCCGACTTGTAAGATGCTGATTGGCCTCTTCGAGGTTGTAAATAGTTGCAACCAGGACATCAACATTGGTAATACTTCCCTCCTTATTCGGGTCCAAGGGGGAGTTCGTAGCAATCAATTGCTCAAGAGCAGTGATGCGTTCTTCCATGCTCTGGAAATTGGCGTTCAAAGCATGCTTTCCCATCTCGGATACTTTGTTAGAGCCCGAGAGGATGGCTTGGTTAATATTAGCTTCCAGAGCTTCCTGCTTTTCTCTAAACCTGTTGAGCTCTCTAAAGGTGGCTTCCACGTCAAAAGGCACTAAACTAGTAGCCAGTTGGATGGAAAGCACACGTTCCACAAGATCTTCAAGCAGCTGAGAGACGCAGTTACTAGATGCTATAACCGGCTGTAAACTATCCTGTAACTCATCAAAATCTGCGGTTAATCCTTGGATTAACCGTTCGATATCAGAGTAGTGAGGATGTGATAAAAGGAAAGAAGAAGAGACCTGGGAGGAAGACTCATCGACGCTTTTTATACCTGAGTCGCAGGCAACAGTACCATACTCTTCGTGTTCTGCCCGTTGCACCAGGATGTTGGAAATATCTCTCTGAACCTCAATTATACCGTCGATGCTGGAAATTAGGTCGTAAAGGTGTGTGATCGAAATTTTGTTGTCGTAATCGTCGGAGAGTCTCGAGCAAGCGACTGATGCGTTGACTTGTTCGATTTGACTCGACAGCTCATTGTAGACATTTTCGATAATGCCTTGGATGGCCTCGTATCCGGGCTGAATGCGTTCTCCTATGCTGTTTAAGAAGTCCGTAATTTCTCCCATGTTCGTCTTGAGGGACGCAATATCTTCGGTGATGTTTGGCGTGATGCTTGACATGAACCCGTTCAAGATGCTGACAAGCTCATCACGAGATACTGAACTGGACAACGACAAGCGATCTTGAAGTAGTGTCTGGACAATAGTTGCGAGAGAATCACCGGACTGGTTATTCGGAGTCATATCCATAACCGTTTTGTTATTCTCCTTCCAAACGAAGAATAGAAGCGAGAACCCAAAAAACGCCAGTGCCAAGCCTTCCCAAACCGCCTTCACAGCACCATTATGCGATTCCAACCGCGGATGGAGACATTTCCTCAGATGAATACCAATAGCATGCGGATCAAACTGCCCATTACTGCCAGAAGTGTCAGTAGGAGCCCGATATGCGGATAGATTGGTAATGTTTCGACTAGCCGTGTATTTTTCCATGGCGCACTTGATAATATCATCAAGTTCCGATGGGAAAGAAGGATGTTCATTGAGCCAAGCGTCACGCTCCTGCAATATCTCGGGGAAGATAATAGGATGCATTTCCTGGAGGGTGTAGATGGCGCCAGTGATCTGGAAGGAACTAACGGCCCGCTCGAGAAACGAGCGTGTGGGATTGATGTTGGTGAAAGGGACATGGTGATACATGCCCCAGAGGTTAGAGGTGAGGAAGACGATAGTTAGGATGGTTAAATCCATCTTGCGAAATGTCGATTTTGGTGCGATTCAGTTGGTGGTCTGGTATTTTGCAGACCTAAGACACCATATATATACTTGGGATTAAAGTCCGAGAAAATATTCGAGTACATTTGGTTAGCGAACAAAAAGTCTTTGTGACGAAAGACATAATATCTGGGGTCTTTGATGCGCCACTTGATGCGAGCAGGGACAAGGAATACAAAGGGACAATCCATTGTCTGAAAACAATAAAACGAATGGCAACCTCCGCATTAGCTTCTCATGACAAAGCTGGGATTTTGAAGGAAAAAAGCGAAAAAGAAGTCGGAATGAGGACAAAGAGCAGATGAAACGAACAAGGACAGGGTGTATCACGTGGAAGATTACTGGGATCTAAGTAGAAAGCCTTTAAAGAGGATTCTTGTTCTTGCTTACAGTTAGGATTAAAGAATATTCTGAAGTCTTGCTTTGTATTGCCGAGATGGGCCTGGGGAACTAGGGCATCCTTTGAGCAAACCGGCGGAAGAATCCGGTACCATCGTATCTATACTAGGAGTAATACATTCACAAAGCGATGTTGTACTCCATAACATTCAGTTATAATTAAGTTAGCCTCTAGAACTTATTTCCAGACAACATGTATTGGCGTATCCTATACAGAGAACTGTTGAATTGGAATGCCCACAGGAATCCAGGGGTATACTACCATCAATAAACACTGGAATGCCTAGACCGCACTCAGTATATAACATTTAAGAAGCGTATTAACAGAGGCTTACAATGGCATTCCAATTGTATCCGTGACCACCATGTTCCTTCGCACCCTCACCCTCCTCTCTCTCCTAACGTGGACCCTCGCCGCGTCCGTGTCGACACTCTACCAATTCCGCAACAAAGGCACCTTCATCGACAACCTCGTCATCCGAGGGAATGGTCATATACTCCTGACGCGAATCGACGTTCCACAAGTCTGGTCTGTCGATCCGAATACCCGCGTCGGGACCGTGGTGCACGATTTCAGTTACGACAACTCCACCATAACCAGTTGCTTTGGCATTGCTGAGGTACACCCAGGGTCGGACATTTTCGCGGTGGTAACCGGTAGCTTCGACGCGAGTAGCTTCTCGTCTGTCCCGGGTTCGTTTGAGGTATGGAAGCTAGATATCAGCGGGGATGAAACGGAAGTGTCACCGTTGGTTGCTATTCCTGAAGCGAAGGCACTGAGTACTGTTATCAAACATGGGGATCTACTCTTGATTGCGGATAGTCCGGATGGTGCGATATGGCGTGTCAACCTCCGCACGAATGAGTATGCCAAAGCCATCGTGCATGAGTCGATGCTGCCGGCACCGAATGCACCGCCGATGGGGGTCAATGGTATCCGTGTGCAAAACAGCTTTTTGTACTACGCTAGTACTACGCGAGAGGAGTTCCGACGGGTGGCTATTAATGCATACGGAGAAGCTATAGGGCCGTTTGAGATAATCGCCAGCGGCACCGCGCTGGATAATTTCGATTTGGATGTGGATGGGACAGCATACATGGCGACTAATGCGCAGAACTCGATTACCACGATCTCGCCAAATGGGAAAGTTGAGACTATTGCCGGGGGGAAGTCGTCGAGGGAATTGCCAGGGCCAACAAGTTGTGTCTTGAAGGGGAAGAAGCTGTATGTTGGGACAAATGGAGGCTTGACTGCACCGGTTGATGGTGTGTTTACGGAGCAAGGAAAGGTTGCAACCATTCAACTCCCTTAATAAGTACCATTTAGCTCCAGACAGATAATAATAATAAAAACTACTGCATCGCCTTAAAAACATCGTCAAACCGATCCTCGTTGAACCGCACCGTCGGCTTCAACCCCGCAAATTTCCACACTCCATTCACCTTCCGATAGTAGTGCTCATTTGTCGCATGCGAATGTCCCTTAAGCTTAACCTCAGTCAGCCCCAGATCAGTATAGACCAGGTGCGCCGCTCGCAACTGATGGTGGCCAATGACAAAGTCATCCGAGACCTTTTCCCATACGGTGGCACCGAGGAGATGCTGCGTTTTGATTGTAGGATCGCCAAGGAAGTCTGGGCTGGAGACCATCTGGAGGTACTCCTCAGCAGGCATGGGATCCCATTTTCTAAGGCCGATTTGGGTGTAGTCGACGGTGAGGTTCGGAGCGACGATACCGCGAAGACGGTCCCAGTCCTGAGAAGTCAGCGACATACTTGCCGTACGTGTGTGAAAAGGCCCTTACCTTGGAATCGTAGCTGTCAGCCCAGTCAAAGGCGACCTTTTGCAGGGCAAAGAAATCTAAACAATTAGCGGTGTAACGCATACTTCTGTGGTGTGAACTCACCGTGTAATTCAACTTGAGCCTTCGCCATGATGGGATGGAGTAGTAAAGCAAAGAGAAAGTAGAAAATCAGCATATTGACAGCAGAGTAAACATAGCCGTCAGCGATACTTAAATATCAGCATTCCAAGCGTATCTGCATGCAGTCAGATCTATTATTACCGCTTTCGGAATCATGTCGTATCCGAGAGCAGACACTGAGACAATAAATTCCTGATTTGTATTTCGCTTCTGGTACAGTATCTCTATATAAGGCTCGTAAGTCCCTACCGGAAAGCAAGGCATTGTCACATCTACATTCTTACACCTAGTTACCCACCTTCACTTCACAATGGTTGTCCTCACTCCCCAGACCTTCACCGGCAGAGTCGCCCTTGTCACCGGCGGTGGCCGCGGCATTGGCGCTGGCATCGCGACGGAGCTCGCCCGTCGAGGAGCCCAAGTCGCCATCAACTACGCCCACAGCCGCGACTCCGCCCAAAAAGTCGTTGACACCATCGGCGCAACAGGCGCGCAAGCAGCCGCCTTTCAAGCGGACCTGACCAAGCTCAAAGAGATTGAAGGCCTCTTCAAGCAAGTCACCGCTCATTTCGGCCGTCTGGACATCGTCGTCTCCAACTCCGGCCGCGAGTCCTTCATGCCGCTTCCGGAGACAACCCTCGAAGCCTTCAACGATGTCTTCGACCTCAACACCCGTGCGCAGTTCTTCGTTGCCAAGAACGCCTACGACTACATCTCCCCTGGTGGTCGTGTGATTCTTATGTCGTCCATCGCCGCCGGTGTGGGTGTCCCCGGCCATGCGCTGTATGCAGGAAGCAAGGCGGCGGTTGAGGGATTTACGCGCTGCTTTGCGGCGGACTTTGGGAAGAAGAAGTGCACTGTCAACACGATTGCTCCTGCGGGGGTTAAGAGTGACATGTGGCTGCAGAATTCGTGGCGTTATGCCCCTGGCTGCGACAAGGGGTCGTCGTTGGATGACATCGAGACCGCCCTTGCTAATGGAAGTCCGCTGGGCCGGTGTGGAGTGCCGGAGGATATTGGCCGCGTGGTTTGCCTGTTGGCCAGTCCTGATGGTGAATGGATCAACGGTGAGTTTCTTGCATTTCTATTGATAATGCGCCATGCTAATGTGAGTGATACAGGGCAAATTATTCCGGTTAATGGCGGAGCGAACATCTAGACACTTATTTGCATTGACATGTTGTTCTAGTCTGGAATGATATTGATAAATATATAGTTGACATAATTGACATATAATCATTGGAGTACCAACGTACAGTGCACTATGCAATTAAGCATCCATCCACGTACTCTGTAGAACAGATTCCAAATACTAGAACAGTGTCTCGGACTTTGTCTCAGTTGATGCAGCTCGTATGCTAGTTTCAGCTGTCGCTCTCGATGCGGTCTGAACCTAATAATTCCATTCAACTCCACCGTATCCCATGGAACAATGCTCAATAGGATTGTTGCAAATGGAAAGAGAACGGTCATCAATCTCAGATCGACAAATAAGATCGATTCTAACCAGAAACGGCTAGCACGAACACGGGATTGTACATCATTACCGAAGGAGTGGATGGATGTTATAGACTTTCCGAAATAGGAAAGGGCGCATTCTCGGTCTTCGTATTCCTGCAACCAGCACTCTGCATGCAGAAGAGCAGATATTATGGGAGTACTTAAAGCGCTGTAATTGGTGTTAGCTACTGCTCCTGGGAGCAATAACCAGTAATTTTACAGCCACAATGGGTTGGATCCTTGGAGAAAAGTTCAACACTGTTTACCCGCACAAGGGTTCTATCAAGGTCTTGTGGGAGTCTCGTTGGAAGTTTGCCGTACGTCTCCAAGCCCATCTATACTAGCAGGTACTAACTATATCAGTGCGAGAGATCCATCTACCCCTTCCACGATGGCAGCATTGAGGACTTTGAGCCTATTTTCCAGCACTTGATTGAGGTAGGTACAGAAACAAATTGTATACAGGTGGGTGTGGCTAACGAACCCAGAAAAACATCAACGACGCAGCCACAGACGAATACACCCACGCCTTCCTCCCAGTCGCCTCCAACCTCGAAAAGAAAGCCGCGACAGCCATCCGCAACAACCAAACCGACAAAGCATCCGACTACCTCCGCCGCGCCGCCGTCGTCTACCGCATCTCCCGCTTCCCCTACATTGACTACACAAACAAGAATGACAAAGACGACATCAAATGGCATGCCTTTAACCGCCAGAAGGAGGTCTACCTGAAAGCTGCCTCTTTCTGGAAGCCCACCATCAACGAAGTTGTCATCCCCCACACCCACCGCGCCTCCATCGATGGCGAGCATATCCCAATCTATACACGCTTCCCTGAGGAGGCTTGCGCGGGTAACCCCGTCCCCATTGTGCTGCTATTGACGGGTCTTGATGGCTATAGGCCTGACAACAGCCAGCGCACGCATGAAATTATCTCTCGTGGCTGGGCGGCGGTTGTTTGTGAGATTCCGGGGACGGCGGATTGTCCTGCTGATGCGGCGGATCCGGACTCACCTGATCGGCTGTTGAGCAGTATACTTGATTACATGGCGGGAAGGCCGGAGTTGGATACCAACAAGGTTGTTGTTTGGGGGTTGAGCGCAGGTGGTTTCTATGCTATTCGTGCGGCGCATACGCACCGTGCGAGATTGGCTGGTGCGATTGCTCATGGACCGGGAAGCCATTACTTCTTGGATCCGGAGTGGTTGAGCAAAGTCAACGATCATGAGTATCCGTTCTTGTACGTCCCTTTTTACACAAGCAAGATGAAGTCACCAACTAACAGAATAGGTTAACCCCCGCTTGGGCAAAGAAATACGGCTACGACAACGACGCCGACTTCGCCAAACACGCACAAAAGAAATTCTCCCTCGTGGAGACCGGGGTCGTTGACCAGCCCAGCTGTAGACTTCTGCTTCTGAACGGCGTTAACGACGGTGTTACTCCTATCGAGGACTGTATGGTCCTCTTCAACCATGGCAGCTCGCCCAAGGAAGGTCGATTCTTCGAGGGTTTGCCGCATATGGGATACCCGAATAGCTTGCCTGTGTCTTATCAATGGTTGGAGGAAGTTCTGGGGAAGACGGATGTGAAGAATTGAACATTGTGTGGGTAGTATTAGTATATAGTGAAAACATCACTAGCATTACATGGAGTATACAAGTTCTGTCGCTTTATTATTACCAATTCCTTGTATTTAAATATTGCCATGAGGATCAGGGATGCAATTAGGGCATGTTATGGAAATTGGTATAGTAGATGGCACGTAGATTTCATGAAGGTACACCGAGAAGAACCACCTCTTGTAGTTAAACACAGCATGATGTTTTTCTTCATAAAGAAGATTAAACTCGGGCATTAATTCAAAGCTTACTTGTTTCTGACTCTGACAAATACCAACAGAAATTACCCATTTATTTCCCCCCCCCAAGCTAGTCTATATATATACTATATACTTCACACCCGATGCATCAACAAAACATGCTTAATTAAATAATCCTTCTCAATATTACGCACAAGCCAAACACATCAATGTCCTTTTACTCCTCCGCTTTCCGAAAGAAGTCCAAGAACAAAAAGTCATCATCTTGAACAGCCGGAGCGATAAGAGTGTTTTCGGGCTTTGGCGGAGCTTCAGGTCCTCCCTCAGTATGCCAGTGGCCCTTGTGGTCATGAGGTTCAGGTTTCCAGAAAGGCGCGGCTCCAGGCCACTCGTGTGTGGGCCTTGGTCTGGAGTTTGTTGTATGCGGAGGGGGAGAGTCGGGGGTAGTAGGCTCTGGTGTAGAGGGTGCAAAAGGCGCAGAGGACTCGGGAGTGGGTGGAAGAGTTGGGTTGGGTGTGATGTAGTTTGTGGTTGCGGGGGTATTTGGTACAGGTGCGACTGGGGAGCTGGGGGCTGGAGTAAATTCGGAATTAGGATCAGGCTTGATGTAATTAGGGGCTGTAGCTGCAGTCGCGGGTTGAGGTTTTGCAGCTGGAACGCTTGCAACCTGGGGACTCGGGGCTGACGGGTTGACAACTTGAAGGTTCGACGGGGGCCTGGCCAAACCAGCGCTCTGACTCGGGTCCCAGGAAGCCCTGTTTATGTTAGTTTCTATCCATCATATGATCCATAAAACGAACACTCACCCGACATTACCCTGGGTAAGCTGGGGCACGACCACAGTATCCCCAATGTTTCCATCTGCATTACCGGATGTGGGCGCTCCATAGCTAGAGCAAATCTGCTTGTGGTCCTGTGGGATAGTCATGTTGATATGATCAGGGGCTTCAATCAAAGTCGCGACTAAACCCGACTCAACGTGCCATTCGATATGGCAATGCAGCAGCCAGATTCGTATAAAATGTCAGCATTTTCGTTGCGTTCTCTGAGGGGTTGGGAGACTTATCTGGGTTGTCGGCACGGAAGCGAATAACACTGTGACCGTTGTTTTGCACCATAATAGTATCGCGCTGGACAGGCGTCGATGAGATATTGCCGAAGTATCCGTTAAACATCCCCCCATCTACAGCGGACCTTTGCAAAACCTGGAACTGGTGCCCATGCAGATGCCACGGGTGCAGGTTAGCGTGATGGTTGTTGATCACAATCTCGACGACCTCGCCATAGTTCACAACCATCGGGTTGACCTGTCCGTATATCGCCTCGTCTGTGGGGTCATCTGCTGTCAACGCTGTGTAAAGGGTTGGCACTTCTGGCGCCCTGTACGTCTGGCCATTGACTGTGAACCGCGAGACGCCATTGATCTCCCTAGACCCCGTGTGCAGGATGATCTGCTTGTCGACGGGCTCCAGGAGCGGTTCCTTGTCAAGAGGCACAAACTCGACATCGTCAACGAAGTCCAAGTTAGGATCGAGGTTGTGAACGGGTGGTGCCGGCGGTAGCTCCTTAGCCTCATCGTAGACAAGCCATGCCGTAGCGTTAGGGTTGAAGCCGGCTGGGATATCCCGGTTCTCGTAGAAGAACATCATATTAAGATCCGTCGTATCCCAGATAGCATAGTTGCGGCTGATATCAGGCTTCGTACGGATGAGAACACTCATACGTTGCCCGGTCGTGACACGCAACTTCTTATCAGATACTGGGTACGGATCCGTATAGACCCCATCCACCTCGACAACGGTCATATCATGACCCTCAAAGAACCATGTATGACCTGGCCAGTTACCCAGACAGACGATGTGCACGAGATACGTCTTGTTGGGCTCGACCTTGATCTTGGCATCAGATGCGTCGTTTATCAGCGTTGCATTGGGGAGCGGCTCAAGGCCGCCATTTGCATCCCCATTTGCGTCGGACTGGTAAATGTTCAGGAGAGTTGGCATTTGCTCATTGTACCAGTCGGTGAAGGTCAGGGTAAATTCGTCGTCGAATTCGATTGGAGACAAGGGGTCGTGAACAATTAGAGAACCGCGAAGACCGTCGGGGTATTGACCCATGTTATGTGAGTGGTACCAATATGTCCCTGTTTGGTTCGCCTGCCTCTTGTTAGCCGACATTTTATCTCATCCAGAGATGGTAAGCGTACCATGAAATCATAAGTCATCCTACTCCCAGGAGTAAGCGGACACTGAGTGACATCTGAAGACCCGTCCATCGTCCCCGTCATATACTGCCGGAATCCATGCCAATGAATACCCGTCGTCTGATTCCCCAGACCATTATACACATCCACGATCAACCGATCTCCCAAGTCGACATCAACCTGCGGACACGGCCATTCTCCGTTGATTCCAATCACGGGACGTGAGTAACCATTAGGAGCTGCATTGACCCAGGTGATGTTCCAGGATAAATGGACGTCTTTGGCGAGCGCAGACTGGGCCAGCCAGGAAAGACCGAAGAGCACGGCTGCTTTGGCCATGGTGAGTGGCCGATGCCTCAATGGAATTGGAACTAATAGATTGGATTAATTAAACAGAATAAAACAACAATATCGCCGATTAAATTCGGAAACAGTCGAGGAAAATGGACGAGAATGGGATATATACAAGGTTCCAAAATTATCGTAAACAAAAGACAGCTGGGCTACTATTCTGGTATCTGAAAACAGGCGCTTGGTACCTGTATTCGGAAATCAAATTGGGTAATTCAGCTCGCCGAGGAATGTGGAATTTCCTCCTTGCGTCAATCTAACATGTTTACATTGCGGTAAGACCTGCACATGGATAACTGTTCCTAGCAAGGGCTGCTACCATTCTGCACATACACCGATCTATTGAACCTAAACCCTCGATCCAAACGCCTCAGAATAAAATTGCATCGGTAAATAACAATCTAGAGATAGCTCTCCGGCACGTCTGGCCATGCATCAATACCGTCTAGCAATACCATCCCCATTCCGCCGTGTAGATGAGTCAATGTGTGGCAATGTAGGAAGAAGGGCCCCGGGTTGACCACTTGGTATCGGATTGCCAACCACGACTCCCCAGCGGGCGATGTGACAAACGTGTCCCGGTACAGTGGGTTGTTAAGGGTGAATCTTTCGGGGTGTTGCCGGGCTGCTTCATTGACATCCGACCACTGGAACTTTCCTGTTCCCCGGCCAATGATAAACGCTTTGTTGGAATGCTTGTGCATCGGGTGCGGAGGCTGCACGACTGTCGGCTCGTCGATTTCCAACTGGTAAACCAGGTCAACCCAAGTGCCGTTGATGGTCTTGATCTTGAGTGCATCTGCGAGTTGTGGGCTGTCAGGATCGCGAATGATCGGGTACAGCGCATCTAGGTCTGCAGGAAACAGTTCTGTTCCATCCAAGGTCCATTGCCACGAGGAGCCGATTCGGCCCAGCGTCAAGAGATGGAAGTCATCAGCTCTTTGTGCTGGATGAATAGGCGGGAATGGTGGCAAGTTGCTGGTATTCAACGGCTTCACGGAGTCCGAAACGGGGGCTCCACCATAGTTGATGTATGCCTCCGACTCACGCTGATTGTTCTCGCCTCCCTGGTAAGTAACCGTGCCATACCCTGAGATTACCTGCTGAGCTCCAGTGCTTGCAACACGCATTGCATATGAAGCAGGCTCCTTGTCAAGCTTGACCATGGCCGAATAGCGCTCCCCGTTGTATATTTCAATGGAGTGGGCCAATTGAGGTTCGATATACCGCCCGTCCACTTCATAGACGTATAAGGGGTGCTCGTCAATGGAGGCTACAAGTGCCTTGATACCAGCCGCACTGATGAAGTTAAAGCTTGCCCATTTTTGCGATGCATCTACCGAGAATCCGGCCTGGGGGCCTTCGCTCGGTTCGCAGCCGGAGTTTAGACCAACGGGGAGATTGTCGGGGTGATGCTCCCAGTCTCCTTGTAGCTTAGTCACAAAGGGCACACAGCTAGTAGCGTTAGAATGAGATTCTGCCTTGAGACAAAGAATACCATAGCTTACCCCTTGTCAGTCAAAGAAGCGTTGATAACTTCTTGAACTGGCGCTGGTTGATATGAAGTCAATTCCTCGGGATCCTTGCAATAGACAGATCCCATGCCATTAACAAGAATACTGTCCGAGCAACTTGGTTTTGTTAGCATCTGATAATTGGCAATTAATGACGGGTACTCACAAGATATCGTAACCGGTATCTTCCATTGCTTGCATATAGTCGACTCCTGTCAGGTGATCCCAGTCCGAAAGAACCACTGAAATGGGACTATTCTCTGCTTTCTTCATTGCCTCGAGATCATTGGGGTCACTGGATATTTTTGAGAATGGATTTTCCCGATCTGGCGATGGTCTAAAAAAGCCTTAGCTCGGTTCAAAACCGTGTCCTTTAGGATTTACACGCACCTAATATGGATTGCTCCATAGAGACCATCCATAAGTAGTGATGTATCATGAGAATGGTACCTTCGTGGGTTAGCTTTGTTCTATATGAATAGGTATAGAAAGCCTCTTACCAGTATGTTCCATAGTCATTTGCGCGCCATTTGTAGATGTACTTGCCCTCGGGTTGAATGGGGAATTGGGTCAAACCCGGGACCCCATCAGAGCATGGGGTGCCTCTTTGTCTATGTCTTGTGAGCTATATGAATGGAGAGAATTGCTATAGGCTATATACTCAATGCCATGAAAATGAACGGTCGTATTGAATGGTGTGTGATTGTTCACTTCAACCTGTTTACAGTCAGCAAGGGTAGCCATCATCACAAGGTATTCAGTCCATACAATCACATAATCGCCCTCATCAGCATACAACGGCGGCCCTGGAAACCGGTCATTGACAAATATCAGTTCTCGTTGCACGCCATTTGGAGACCCAGGTGCCCAGGTCAAGTCCAAAGTGTAATGGACCTGGGCAGCCCGGGCAAATGCTGCCATAAAAAGGCAGAGACCAGCGAAGGCCATCGCTGCAGTAAGTCGGATTGGATACAAGGTAGAACTATGAGCAAAAATGCGCGTGTTTCAAACTTGGCAAATACCAGCAGAAATTTAGATTGCCTGGCGTTTATAAATACTCTTTCACCGACCCTCCATATCACCATTCATCTCTAAGCGTCTCCACGCTGAATCCGGAGATTCAGCCGAAAGCAATCGATAATTGATCTCGGGAGCTTGTCATGCCTCAAATCGGTAAGGACATGTCTTGAATTGGAAAGGGAGATGCGAATCCCGGTCCGTGACTGGTATGCAGGTCTCGTCATCCCTAGCCGCAAGCCACTTCAGGCCAGCCCATATCCCTTTTCCGGATATTTCTGCTGCACTTTCAGCCAAAGAAGTTATGGTGCTATTCTTCTGTGTGACATCAGTCGTGTTAGAATGTGAAATTGTGACACCATTGTATTCTGCTGCGATCGTGTAGGTTTCGTACCTGTCTGAAAGCATAAATATCTGTATAGGTCTGCAGAAGCCCCTCGCTGCTTGTAGATGCAATATAGTCATAAAACCGTCAACACTCGGGATTTGATCGAACCTATTGAAGTCAATCGAGTTGCGTGTATATTGTTTCCTGTTCTGAAAGCAGATATCAATTTGCCATCAGTGCTGTAGATAAGGCGCTTGAAAGAGAGAATGAAAGAAAAAGTGATAGAATAACACAAAGAAAAAAAAAAGGAATGGTTGCAGCAAAGAGAAAAGAAGCGGATTGTTGCTGCAAAATGAGCATGAGCAGTCAAGACCGCAGTATGACAGACGATTGGGGATGGCATTCCATACTATGTACTCTACGCCGCGCATTATAACTGTCCAGGAAAGAGCCATTGGGGGTCATTTTCGCTATTGGAGGTTACATCCATCCAGGTATACAAGCCCTTTGATGGCAAGATGCATGTATCTGACCCGCTTTGGAGCAAAAGACAAAGCTGGCTGTCTCATCTGCCTGATGTCAGTGGACAATGCTCTTTGGAGAGATCATAGCCTGATATATATCCTTTATCGTCAGTAGAACACTCATAAACCTCATCACTTACACTTCTCGCAAGAGTACTCTTTTCCTACTCTGCCATACGAACTTCCTCCATACAAGCAGATATCAATATCGCAATGGACTCTTTCGGTCTCACCATGTTCTCAATCCTCATAGCCATATTTGGCTACTTTCAATCTATTCATCTGACAGGCATCGAGCGACTGAAGGACGGTCTGGGAAAGGAATACGTCTTGGACCATTTCGGGATGATGGTTTACAGATTCTTCCCAGTCGCTTATGGCAACGACTCTTTTGCGAACTCCGAAATACGGTCTGATGCACCATCTGCTGTGGTTTTGTCGACATCATCTGAACCGGAACCAGTTGATCATGCTGTGGATGCCGTTATGGCCAACTTCAGTGCTTCCATGGATGATACGATAGGATATACAACCGATATTGTGTCGCTGGATGCTGACCAGAATGAGTCTGATTCTTGGCTTTTCCGCGACACCCACTACCTTAATCTGATCGCGATCCGCTCTCGGTATGCAGGATTCTCATCGCAGATTTGGTCGGTTATCAAAAGCTTTTTCGGGCTTGCGGTACTTCTAGGGCTACCTGTCATTCTCGTTGGGACGCTGAGCGTCGCCTTCATGTACTGGCGAGATTTGCGAACAGCTGACGCTGGGATTATGAGGTTCACCAACGAGGTTCAATCCAGAAGAGCTTCCCTCCGACGAAAAATAGACCTGGCAGTCCTGGTAGTCGATCAGACCCTTGACGAAATTGTAAGACATATTTCAGCAGAGCAGGAGCGCGTACACCAGGATCTAGCCTCCTTCCGTCCAGAAGATGTTATCAGCCAGGAGATGAGCGCATTCCGCGAGAAGCTTGAGTTGCTTATCCAAAGAGAATTCCACAGACAGGTCTCCTGGGTGAAGGATTACCTAGAGGAACTCGAGCAAGTACGCCAATCCCTTCCAAGCCCCGCGAAAATTCGAGCCCAATGTAAGGAATTCCAAGAGATGTTTCAGCAAGCCAAGGAAGTGCACAACAACCTGAACGATGCCTTAAAGCATATCGATGAGCTTTCGCGTTCGAGACAGACGCCGCCACTTTCTCAGGATTCGCTTTCTCTGGTTGACGACGAATTTCACGCTGTGCATTCTATCTCCAGCAACGAAGAAACAGGCTCGTGCAATGTGAGTGAGCGCTTTCATGATAATGCACACACACCACCCCAGTCATTGTCGCAGTGGGTGATGGCGTCGGGTCGTCACGCCATGACTCCCGAGGAATTCGACAAGGCGCGCGAGATTCGACGTGAGAGAGTGAAAATGCGGTGCGCAAACCGAATTAAAACGGACTCTGCTTCATCGAATGTTCAAAGCTGGACTGCAATGACCAATCGTTCCTCTTGGTAGACTTCTTTCGGTCTCTGGCTTGATCGAGACTGATTCAGATGCGGACTTTCTCATGTCTTTGATGCGTCGGTTTGTACTATGATAGACTGTGTAACAGGCTGAATTTAGAACTGAATGTGTATTCTTGTGGATATCTTTGGGCTTACAATGGTAATGACAAGGGTGCTCAGTAGCGGTAGATGTAGAAGCGAATGTGGAAATCTTCCGGAATGCTTCTCTTCCACTCGTTTTCCGGTTCGGATTGTCTTGACACACCGTACCAAGGTGCCCAGCCTCTCCTTCTTGTTCATAATTTCTTTAATGCGTCTTAAATCACGCGGAAGTCGACAATCAAGGATTGGAAAAGAAAGAGGAGCCGTCAATATGCCAAAAGTACTAAATTAAGCATCGCCTTTGCGTTTCTTGTGGCGGGCTTTCACTGACAATATCTTTGATCGGGTCTCTTTAAGCGAGGAAAAGGCCCGTCAAAGAGGCATAAAGAAACAAAGAAATGTATATAAGGGTCAACTGATGATCAAAGACCACATTGATAGAAGCCATGTGCTATTTTTGTGAATCCATTGTCTCGAGCACTTGTGGTTGTATCGATTTGCATTGACACTACTTGCTTTGATCGAAAATGAATACTCAAATCCTTGCATAAATAAAGACACATTGTCCATATTCCTCTTCATGCAAGTACTATCAAGCGCTCATTCACGAAATTCCCCGACAAAATGGTCAGAACACGCAGTCAGGAAGCTGCCATCCGCAATTCGTCCCCCGAGGCGCTCGGGAAAGTCAGTCGAAAATCCCCCGACAGAGTGCTCAAGGCCTCTCAAAGACGTGCGAGAAGCACATCCGCAAAAGCATCAGGCAATCGCAAACTTTCGAAGACGGAACGGAGAAGCATCAAGCCAGAAACAGTCATCACCGAGATCCAATCAATCCGTGCAGGTCTCCAAGCCGAAAAGCAGGAACGTGTACAGGCGGCAGACCAAAACGAGACCCAAAAAGATAAGGACACATGCGATGCCATTCTGGTGACTAAGTCGGGAATACCAGGCCATGGAGCTACGCTTGAGCACGCTAGAATGGCCCTCTCCGAAGCACTTGAGCAAGGAATATTAAAGGTGCATTCCATCAAAGGACAGACTTTCGTCTAAAATGCGGCAGCGCTGGATTATTCTCAAGCTAAAATGCATGTGACAGAGTTCAACAGACAGAATATTGCCCTCAAAGGCGAGCTGGAAAAGCTTATGTATATTCAGATGATGGTTAGGAGGCGGTTCCTCAGCACCTATAAGCGAAAGAAGTTGAGTATATTCGAAAACTTTGATCGTCATGCCATCCAGACAGCAAATCAAATAGTTCACTCTGGTGATACCCGTTTGGATGCGATGTTGTTTCGGGATTTCGGTGGTGAACGAACTGATACAGATGTCTTCAAAAAGGTGTATGGGCTGACTCCAGCACAAGTTTTGAGATTTGGTAAGTTCATCATATACCCAATCCCTTAAACGCATTTATACTAACAGTAGCAGAGTATCAACCGACCATCGAAACCATAAACCGACATGCAAGCCAAATAGCCTCCAAGTACACCAATCATTATAATTCACAAATCGAAGCCAGCTTTTATAAGTTTATTAAATCTTTCGCGGATTCGGGTTTTGACGAGACGTATTTGGAAAAGGATACGGCTACCCACGCTGCGTACAAGGAATTTTGGCATGATTGCCAGCAGACTGGTTTATGGAGATGGAGATGGAAGACCTGATACGCGTTTGCAACCGACCTTTTTTGTCGCTACATTTGGCTATGCCGATTGGTAGCGAGTATTCTGTGAGTATGTTATGTTTTTTACTTTTACCGAAATTTTTTGAACTGATATAGATGTTGTATTTTGCCCTAATGCTATAGACTTGATATTTGTGCTTATATTGAGACTAACATGTCGTTAGGGAATGCTCCTCTGTTGTTATGTACACTTCCCAGGAAAATCACGACAACTGCTTTCCAATAACCACCCCATAATAAACGGTAGCAAGAAGAGTGGCCAGATTGAGCAAGCTCGACACTCCATGAACCTTACCAAACTTCTTGTTCAAAGCCTGCATCTGCTTGGAGTGGGGAGGAGGATCATAACTCTTCTTGCCGTCACGGGTTTCTGAATCCCAGTCAGTTCAGTTCTCAACTAACGCGTTAGACAGGTTCGGCCATAACATACCCTGCTTCTTCCGCTCCTTCATCACGTTCATCGTGAGCGGACGCAGAATAAACTGATTGGCGAGTCCTGTCACCACCGCAGTAGCCATCGGCAACAGCGTGTTGAGTCGATTCTCCGGAGCCAAAAGTCCGGAGACCCCGAGTGTCTGGCCACCTTTACTGGCAGTCAGAGCAACCACGACTGGGAGGGCTGACTGCAGAGTGAAGTAGATGGGGAAGGTTGCGGTCTGCAGCTGGGCGAACTGGGGGCGCGGTAGAGCTCTGAAAGCAACCACGCCGGAGACAAAGGACTAGTAGACGCTTCTTTAGATTGCATATTTAATTGTCCAAGAAGAAAGTTATCACACCTGATAGACCTGGACACCCAGCAGAGTGCCATAGCTGGCAAGAGTTAGCGCATGTCTTAGTTGATAGGAATTGAATATACTAACCTGAGAACGTGGTATGGTCGAGGGTCAGTCATTTCGACGGTTTAGAACGAATCAGATGTATCAGTCTGCACTGTGTAGAGAAGAAGAGTGTAGTCGGATGTCACTTGCTGCGGAGATGCAGGTGTTTAGGTGGGGAGATCGGATATCTTATGGACACGCACCTGTATTTGGATATTCTAATTCCACGCGTATTACACCAGGCTTTTCGAGCCCCACGACAAGATGTGCAAAGACCACGCAGCTAATCAGATGATGTCATGTGCTTTCGTGTTCCGCCTCCAACCCAAACGGGAAATATCGCGCGTCTGCTGCCTGGTGCACGTGTTTCGCAGTGTTCTTTCTTATTTACTCTACGTCTCTCCCTCTTTCTCTCTTCCTGGTCACTGTTACACTATCCTACTCCCTCAAGGTGACCATGGCCGAGAAAGAAGCTACGGTGTACATCGTCGATGTCGGCCGGTCGATGGGGGAGCGCCGTCAGGGACGCTCGGTGACGGATCTACAATGGAGTATGCGCTATGTTTGGGATCGAATTACGGCTACGGTACGATTGCTTGAACAGATAGACCCATATACCCTTGCTGATATTGGATGCGCAGGTGGCCACGGGGCGGAAGACAGCTATGGTTGGGGTGCTTGGTCTGAGGACAGATGGTGAGGGCTATACTTGATGCGGCGACGCCAAACTCGCTAAGACGAGGACAGGAACTTCGAACGAGCTGCAGGATGACGAACACTTTGAGAATCTCTCCGTGTTACAGGGAATCAGCCAGTGTGTTCTTCCTGTTCTCAATCGTTGTTGGTGTTCCGGGACTGACGGATTAGGATGCTCATGCCGGATATCAAGAGGCTGCGTGAAGAGATACAGCCTAGCGACACTGACAGCGGCGATTGTAAGGATAAATCACATTTTAGTTTCGGTCAGGTTTTGGATATTAACTTGCCCTCAGCTATATCCGCACTCATTCTGGCCATCCAGATGATCATCGTCCAATGCAAGAAGCTCAAGTATAAGAGGAAGATCGTCCTGGTCACCAATGGACAAGGGCACATGAGTACTGAGGGTCTCGACCAAATTACCAGCAAGATTAGGGAAGATAATATTGAGCTTGTTATTCTGTGGGTGTTTAAGGAACTGCATGGTGACCAGTGCTAACCTCCTTCAGTGGTGTTGACTTCGACGATCCGGAGTATGGCTTCAAGGAGGAGGATAAAGACCCTAGAAAGGTCAGTTGGTCCTGTTAGTTTCGTGCTTGGCTCAACTGACAATACTCGTCAACTTTGCAGGCAGAAAACGAAGCCCTCCTGCGAGGTCTTGTTGAAGACTGCGACGGTGCCTACGGAACATTAGAACAGGCCATTTCGGAAATGGAGATCCCCCGAGTGAAGCAAACCCGAAGTATGGCAACCTTCAAAGGGTATCTTCAGCTTGGAGACCCGGAGAATTACAAAAATGCCGTTAAGATCCCCGTGGAGCGATATTACCGAACCTACGTTGCAAAGCCTCCGACAGCCAGTTCGTTTGTGCCTCGCTCGGATACCTCAGATAGTCAAGAAGATCCCGAATCCGCTCAGTCGTCTGCCACCATCGGTGCGACTCAAGATACTCAATCCGGGGAGAGCAGCGATCTGACGAGCGTGAGATTCGTGCGAACCTATCAGATCACGGATAAGAATGCGCCAGGAGGAAAGGTCGAAGTCGAACGGGACGAGTTTGCCAAAGGTTACGAATATGGACGGACTGCCGTGCATATCGATGAGACTGACCAGAACATCACGGCCCTTGAAGCGCCTATGGGCATGGAATTGATTGGCTTCGTGCAGAGTGACAAAGTATGTTGGCCGATAACAGTGATTTCCATAGACTTACATTTTCCTCAGTACGATCGTTATATGCACATGTCGACCACTAATATCATCATTCCCGAACGCACTAACGATGCAGCCGCGCTGGGCCTTTCGTCATTCATCCATGCTCTATTCGAGTTGGAATGCTACGCTGTCGCGCGGTTGGTAGCAAAGGAAAACAAGCCTCCGCTCATGGTTCTGCTGTGCCCATTAATCGAACCGGACTACGAATGCCTCCTGGAAGTGCAGCTACCGTTTACCGAGGACGTCCGCACATACCGTTTCCCACCACTGGACAAGGTCATTACTGTTTCAGGAAAGGTGGTCACAGAGCACCGGAATCTTCCCAATGATGATTTGGTCAACGCGATGAGCAAATATGTGGATAGTATGGAGCTCGTTGACGAGGATGAGGATGGGTGCGTAATTGGTTTTGTGTAAGAGCTGGGCTGGGCTAACATATGCAGGACACCCGTTGAGACATTCCCAATCGAAGATGCATTTTCGCCAGTCTTGCACAGAATCGATTCAGCGATCCGTTTCCGGGCAACCCATCCGGACGAGCCACTACCACCGCCGGCTGAGATACTGACAAGATTCTCGCAACCACCAGAGGAGGCAGTGCAAAGAGCAAAGAAATACCTTGACAGGCTAGCGGATGCAGCCGATGTCAAGAAAGGTCAGCTCTTGACTGTCCCCTAACTATAGCAAATGCTAACAATCCCGCAGTACCGCCCAAAACCAAGGGCCGCAAGCGCACTCGCGAAACCGAAAAGCCGCTCTCCGGTCTTGATGTCGACGCTCTACTACATCAAGAAAAGCGCGCTAAGATCTCTCCTACCAATTCCATTCCCGAGTTCAAGCAAACACTGTCGCACGCAGAGAACGTCGATATCATCAGCGACGCTGTGAAGCAGATGACGGCCATTGTCGAAGAGCAGGTCAAGAACAGTCTCGGTGATGCCAACTACGACCGGGTTGTTGAGAGCCTTGGTGTCATGCGAGATGAGCTGATATCCTACGAAGAGCCGGCGTTGTACAACGATCTTCTGAAACAGCTCAAGGACAGGTTGTTGAAGGGGGAACTCGGTGGTGATCGTCGTGAGCTGTGGTGGCTTATTCGGAGGAGTAAGATTGGGTTGATTGACCGGAATCAGTCTGATCGGTCTGAGGTTTCGGAGGATGAAGCTAAGGAGGTGAGTATCCGTGTCCTAGGAGTCTACGAGTACATGCTAATTGTTCCAGTTCATGTCTTCGAGATGAGATGCTTGGTTAGCTTGGTATTGGATAAGGAACCATCGGATAGCTTCATTAAGATTGGTTGCAACTGGTTATGAAACTCATATGCCCATAATGATCTTGGGATAAACGCCAGTAATGAACTAAGAGATCTTCCCCAGCCTCTTCTTGGAAATATCGAGTTTGCCTTGTAACCTGTAAAATCAGCTGGTCAGCATCATCCGCTATACAAATGAGAACCGAAACCACATACCGATCAGCATCCTCATCCGCCAACTTCAGCAGATCATTCTGAACCTGCAACTCCCCATTAATCGATATCCCCAGCTCCTTCTGCCTCGCCACAATCTTCCTCAACTCCTCCAACCCCAAATCCTGATCCTGCATAGTCTCCCTCTGCAACTGCAGCACACCCTGGTTATCCAACTCGCGCGTCCTCTCCGTCTCCTTCCCAAGAACCCTCCCAGAACGCGCTGGTTTGCGAGCACCCGCATTCCCAACAAGCGCCTCTTTATCCTCAAGCGACGCAACAGCATTATCAATCCTCCCCTTCGCAGCCATCGCATTCAACAAATCCTCCAACCCATCCTTCTCCTTCCGCGCATTCACAAGAAGATCCTTCCGTCGCCGCAGCTCCCCATCCCCAAGAACAACCCCATCACCCCATCCATTCCCGCTTCGTTCCCGACTCTGACTCCGACTATCACCACCATTCCCATTCTTCCCCTTCGACGATGACGAAATATCACCCAGATTCTTCAATCCTTCTTCCAACACAGAGATTAGGGATCCCGCACGTACAAGCGCACTCTTTGCCATCGCTGAACTCTCATGCTGCTTCTGCGGCGTGGTCTCCTGGTCCCGCCGCGTGAGTTGGAGTCGCGCATCGTGTAAATGCGCCTTCATATCCCTGAAACAATCCAGCCACAGCGTTGGATCGGTAATTGCTTTCCCGCCACTACCGGGCCCCGATGCAGCAGCCGGATCTGTAATCGCCGTATGGAGTCGTGCAGTCGTATGTGAACCGTTGTCTTTAGCACCCGCCGCACCAGACGCGGTGTTAGGCAGATTCAAGAACGTGCGCCAGGCGCTAGAATTGCGCCACTGGGGATCCGCGTCATTGTTTATAGCGCGGAGGTAAGACTCGAGACCTGAGCGGCGTTGTTCGCGAAGGGAAGCGTTGGAGACGGTGTTTGCGAACCAGGATTTCGGGGGGAGGGGGGATGGAGGGGGGGATTTTGTTTGGGAGGTAAGTGCTGTGTGGAAGGAGGAGAAGTCGGAGTAGCGTTTGGAGAGGGTGAAGGAGCGGAGGGGGAGGCGGATGGTGATGTTGTACAGGGTGTAGGGGGGGGATGTTGGGGAGAGGGAAGTGGTTGGGATGGAAATTTCGGGGGTGGGCATGTTCTGTGTTATCTTGTCGATGTTATTCTCTTGTTGTCTGGTGAGGATGTGTTATTATAGTCGGATTGGCATGGTTGTGTTGTGGATGCAACGGTGAGGTGTCTGGTGGTAAAGTCGGTCTGCTGGACAGCGGCGCCTAAACAATGACGCCACGGCATCACGGGTTCCTACATCGATCAGGGTACCTGAACAGAATATAGTTATTATTGATAGTATCATTCAAGTCTAGTATTTATGATGCTTGGGTATCTAACTAATCTGCCATATTTCCCTGGCCTCCAACAGATCTCTCTGCCCGTAATACTCGCCTACCACCGTGATGATCATATCCAGCATAGCTCGAGTCTGCATGGCCACGTCGCCAGCGCTCTCTTCTGTGTCGGAATGTGCCTGCACCTGACTGTTCTCGTCCACATGTCCCTGGATTTTCGCTTGGAGTCGTGCCTTGGCTGCTTCTAGTTCGTCGGTTGTATTCTCCGCTTCGGCGTCTTTCATGTCGTGATCTTGCGCTTCGCTTTCAGCAGACGCAGCCTGTTCACCAATGTCGCCTGTTCCTGCTTCCTCAACATGCTCTTCAGCCTGTTCTTCAACCTGCTCTTCAGCCTGTTCTTCAACCTGCTCCCCAGCTTGTTCCCCATCCTCCCCATCCTCCTCATCCTGGTCTCCATCAACCGACTCCTGATCCTCCATTTCCACCGCACGCTCATCCTCCCTCATCTTCCCCAAAATCTTCACAGCCCTCTTTCCCAAATCCCTAATCTCCCCAACCTCCTCCGTCCCCAACTGCCCAACCTCCCTACATTTCCCCAGCAACCCCCAAGCCCACGCCCCAATCCTCCGTACCCTCACAACATCCCCACTCCTCACATTTTCCGACATAAGCCTCGCCATGATCCCCAGCACACCGAGCACACTTTCTATATCCATGCACGCTAGCTGGACGGTCTGCGGGTCGACGGAGAGGAGTAGGCGGCGCCATTCTTTGCGCGCGAGTTTGGAGTGGCGCGGGAGGGAGATCGGGTGAGAGTCGTCGAGGAGGGGGATGGAGGTTGGTGGGGGTGTGCATTTTAGGATCGAGCGGAGGAGGAGGAAGCGGTGGTGGAGGAGGGTGTAGTAGGATTGTTGGGCTTCGGGGTATGCTGTGGTTGTGTTTGGGGAGGTTGAGGGTGCTGCGGGTGTGGTGCGCCTGACGAAGACGCCGTCGACGTAGGTTCCTTCTTGGTCTTTGGGATGTGTAGGTTCTTCGCGTTTGTCCTGGACGGGTTCTTCGGTTGTGGTTTGCTCGACTTGGATCGTCTCTGTTTCTGTCGTCTGAGTCTTCGGCGCGGTAAACAGCAACGGTAGCGAATTTGCTTCGGACCTATACGAGTCCACGATAAAAATTCATCAGTCTCCAAACACTCTCGTCTCAACCGCGACCTCTACAACCAAAAACACAACCAGCCAACATTTAGCAAGCGTGTAAAACAGCCAGCCAGGTAACAAAAAAGAGCTACTCACCGGACCATCCTCAAATACTCCAGCCCATCGTCCGCAGGCCCATAAAACAGCTCCCCTTCTAAGCCAGCATCAAGACCCGGAAACGCGCTCTTTTGTCCGTAGAGAGGGTTGTTACGCGGGCGTTCGTGGGTCATGGCGGCGGGTGGCTGCGAGGCTTGGGCGTTGTCTTCGTTGTCATCGTCGGCGTAGGAGACTCGTGATCGTTTGTAGGGTGTGCCTCCTGGTATTGAGGAGGAGGGTTTTCTTTTGTCTGGGATGTGCGACATGGTTGTTGCGGTTGTTGGTGCGGGAGTGGTTGGAGGTGGACTGATAATCATGATGGTTTTCGGCGGAGGAGCTTGGGCCAGCGGAGTAACTATACGAAGTAGACTATTGTAGTAGCACCATGTGATAGCACGAGTTGTATGAGTTACATATGCTTAATTGAAGTATGCTCACTATGCATACACCTCCCTTTCCAAAGCATCAAACAACCCCAAAACCTCTGCATCGAGAAACGGAGCAAGACTCGTAAACACAACTCCCACCTTCCCAGCCGTTGGATCAACCCAATAATACAAATTATTGATACCAGCCCACGCACCACTCCCCTTCCTCCTCCCCCCGGGCACATCCTCATTATTAACCATAAACGCACTAGACCACCCCTTCTGTATATCAGAAAGCAACGTCCCGTTGTTACTAACAGACGGATCAACAGAGTTAAATGTACCAATAGGATCACCTTTTGTCTCGAAGTCAGGGGAATGATATTCCGGTATAGCAAGGGGAAGCTGGTCAGTGAAGATGTATTCCTTGACCGTCTCAGGTCTGAGAATCGACACTCCGGTATGCGGATCCGTGCCCCCATTAACCAAAGCTAACAGAAACGTGGAGTAGTCGTCAAGCGTGGAGGTGAGGTAGTCCCCGCCTGCATCGACAAAGTCCCCCGGTTTGGTGGGAGAAGCTGAGTACGGCGTTGCAGTGATACTCCCGTTCGCGAGACGCTGGTGATCAGCGATGTCGGGAGGGTAGATGCCCGTGTTCTGCATTCCTAGGGGTTTGAGGATGTGTTCTTCGCAGTAGCTGGCTAGGGACTGGTTGGAGATTGTTTCGATGACCCAGCCGAGCCAGTCGATGTTGTAGCCGTAAGCGTAGCCGTCGCCTGCGTCGAATGCGAATGGGGCTTGGGAATCGGCTCGTGTCTTCCTGGTAGAAACGAAAGTCACGTTTCGACGCCATTGCATCCAGCGCTCGGTGTTGGCGTCGAAAAAGGTATACCTCAACCCAAAGGTGTGTGTCATGAGGTGACGAATAGTCGGTTTAGTCCTCGGGGCTCGATAAATCGGCTCTCCAGCATCCGTAAAGCCCTCCAGAATCTGAAAGCCTTCAAGTTCTGGGAGATACTTCCACACGGGATCATCAAGGCTCAACTTGCCCTGCTCAACTAGCTGAAGCGCTGCGCTAGCCGTCACGGCTTTGGTCATCGAGGCTAGCCACATTTTTGTCGAAGGTGTTATGGGTGGCGAGGACGGGTCTTCGATGTTCGTTGTTCCCCATGATTGCTTGTAGATGATGCTGCCGTCTCTGTTGAGCGCGGCGGCTGCGATGCCGGATACGCGCTTCTCGGTCACTGCTGTTCCAAAGGCTTGGTTTAGTCGTGCGGTGGTGTCGTTGCCTGGGCCATTATGGCCTGTGGAAGGGTTGTCTCTCCCATGGAGGGCATTTGCAAGAGCAAGCGCTCCAAAGAAGATGAATCTTAATAACATTCCAAATAAAGGCTTTGTAATCAATGACAACACAACAGGTGTGAATTTGCATTTACTTCACCTCTCCTTTTATATCTTTCCATTCTGTAAGCTCCCCAAAAGAGGATCCTGCTATGCACTCCATAACTCTGAATAGTTAGCTAGTTATGCGGTGTATTGCTGCTTACTAATGCGGAGTTGCTGCGCTGATGGCCCGATATGTCCATAGTGCAACATTATTAATCGGACTAGTACGTAGTTAACTGGAGATGGTGCTAGTAGGCAGAACTGCTGATAGAAGGATCTAGACTTTGGAAATGAGAAAATGAAGATTGCAACTCATGATCATTATTTTCTCCTGCAGACATAAATATACAAGCTAAGGACGCAAACGCTGAGGGTCACGAGGGAACAGCGAAGCCAACCGAATGTTAGGCAATCCCAAGAAGAACATGACAATCCGGTTCAGACCCAAGCCACCACCAGCGTGGGGCGGGCATCCTTGACGGAAAGCATTGAGGTAGTCCTCGAATCCCTCCTGGTCCGGGTTAACACCCTTGGCAAGCATCGAAGCCTCCAGCTCCTTGATGTCGTTGATACGCTGGGCACCGGACATAATTTCCTCACCACGCATGAAGAAATCGTACGAGTTGGAGAAGCGGGGGTCCTTGGGGTCGGCCTTGGTGTAGAAGGGGCGCACGGCCATGGGGAATTTGTCGAGGACGTAGAAGTCGGTGTCGTATTTGTCGCGGATGATCTGGCCCAGCTGCTTCTCCATCGCGGTGGAGAAGTCGTTCTCGAAGCGTTCTTGTTCCGAGACGTCGACGCCGGCTTCCTTGAGCAGGTTCACACCGTCCATGTAGGTCAGGCGCAGGGCCTTGCCATCCTTGGGGAGCTTGAAGTCACCGGCCTTGGGGTACGACTTCTGGATGGTTTCGATCTGTTTGCTGTAGCGCTCCTTGAGCTGGGAGAGGATGAAAACGAGGAGGTCCTCAGCGAACTCGAGGACTTCGTGGTAGTGGCTTCGGAAAGTCTTTTCGAAATCGAGACCGGCGAACTAAAACCAGTTAGATCATGCCTTTCACATAGGTTCATAGACAAATACCTCAGTCAAGTGACGGTGGGTGTTGCTGTCCTCAGCACGGAAAACAGGAGCAATCTCGAAAACGTTCTCCATGTCACCAGCAATACACATCTGCTTGTACAGCTGGGGACTCTGAGCCATGTAGGCGTTTCTCTTGAAGTACTTGACCTCGAAAACGTTGCTACCACCCTCCGTAGCAGCACCGACCAACTTGGGAGTGAAGATCCACCGCGATCCACTCTTTACCATGTACTCCGCAAACAGTTCTGAAACACCGCTCGAGATCCAGGTGATGGCCTGGCTGGTCTCGGTCTGAAGGTCCAGAGTACGGTTGTCGAGACGGGTCTTGAGAGTGACAATAGGAGTACCCTCAGCATCAACCTGGGGACCCTCCTCGGTCGTGTCAGGAGGCGGCCGCTCCGCATCCTTGACCTGCATAGGAAGCATCTGAGCAGCCTCAGAGATCATGTAAACCTTCTGGATGTGCAGCTCGAGGTTCTGGATCGTAGCAGACGAGATCGGAGTGTCGGGCTTCTTGACAATACCCGTCACCTCCACAATTGAGTTGACGTTCAGTCCGCCCGTGTACTTGACCATCTGTCTCGAGATCGGCTCCTTGGCAGCAATGACTGCCTGCACCTTCTGTCCCTGCTGCCTAAGCATCAAGAACGCCAACTTGGCACTCTGCACACGCGCATTGTCCACACGAGCGACGACCGTAACCTCCTTGTCGTGGTGCTCCTCGGAGAGCTCAGAGAATCGCGTCGACGGGATCACGTCTTCGGTTTCGGGGATCGGACCGTACAGGTGCGTAGCGGTGTCTTCTGTCTGGGTAGCGGCCTTCTGGGCTTGCTCTTGAGCGGCGCGCTGAGCTGCCTTCTCTGCCTTTGCCTTCTCCTTGGCGGCCTTCTTTGCGGCGCTCTTGCTGGGGCCCTTGCTCTCTCCCTCTGCGGGGGATTCGCCGGCAGGGGTCTCCTCGGGCTTGGGGCGAGTGGGTAATTCGGAATCCGCCATGGCTGCTATAATCGGAAGGGTTCGATAAGTTGGGTTGGACGATGGGGGTGATGCGCGCTGTTGCTTGACTCAGTGAGGATCTTGAAGAGTCACCCCGCCGCATACCCTAAGCCCTAAGGGTGTAGCACGTGACTCAGGCCTCAGGCAGTGATTTGTATCATCATCTTCGAAAGTTATGTTTACATCCGATTATCATAACCATCTCAAAGACTACTAGAATGACAAACAGCTAATCTTATACTACTTCAATCAGAGCATTGATCTTTCTAGTGTATACTGGCTATAAGCATGGCATTGATGATCACTGAATCTTAAGTACAGCAAAAGCAATGTCTGATTAGTTTCTGGTTACGATATGTAGAATGAATGATGCTAATAGGCATGCTACTCGTTCTGTGTGGCTTCTTTAGTGCTTGGTGTCAAACGGTCAACCAGTATAGGCGGTATGAGTGGTTTAATCAAGAAGTAGTAGGTCTCGCATTTTGCAGATCTACCCTATGACGAGACCCCCGGAAGACAGCATGCGAAGTGACCAGCTAACAAGCAAGTCAGAAGAACAACAGAAGGCCTGTGGAAATATCAATGAACGTATATGTGTGTAAAGTAAAGATGAAGAAAAGGAAATGAAGAAAAGGAAATGAATAAAAGGTAGTGAAGAAAAGGTAGTGAAGAAAAGGTAGTGAAGAAAAGGAGGGAGAAATTGAATGTCATCACGGAAGCTCGAGAACTGCGTCCTGGTGGTGAGACTTAAGTTTGATCGTTTCGAAAACGTCGGACATCGTCATAGCAAGACGGCATATACCGGCAGAGTTACCCCCGCGTATGTGTACGTTGCGCCGTATAAGAGGCCGCAGACGCGACCAAACCTATCAATGAGGACCGATCCAGAGTCGCCTGGGTGGGCAAAATCTCTCGGAACATGATCACTCGGCTGGTCAATAACAACATACTCCTCCGTCACTTCTGGACTTACAATACCTGCGTTCCCCTGGAAGTCGAAGCGCTGCCTATCTCGGTTATTCCAATGGCACGAAACCTTTGTGCCGTTGCAGATGCCTGCCGTTAATCCGGTTGCCTTGCCTACCTTACAATACCATTCGCCCGCCGTAAGCACACCGAACCCCGTGAGCGGGTCTCCTGATTCGTATTGGAATTTGAAACCATAATTGGATGCTTCGATGGATTTCGAAACACGGGGCATGACATTCGGTTCGAATGATATTCCTTCGTCGATTTTCACGAAAGCCCAATCAATCACCCGGTTATTCCAAATCATGTTTCCGCTTGAGATAAGAACCTTTCCGATGGTTGTCGGCATGGACATCGCCAGGTCAATTTTCTTCTGATGCGGAGTAACCAAAACTTCATACCGGTCGATGCTAGAAGCAAGATGGCGCGGGAGCTCGCAGACAGCCATCTTGCGGTAGTATTTCTCCTGTCGAAGTTTGAGTAACTCTGCATTGAGTTCCTCGAGCCGCCCCAACCCGTCAATCACGGTCTCTTCTATATCTTTGGGCGCAAAGCGAATTACTTCGCACCTGGTGTGGTCGTCCACAGACAAAGAAGAACCACGGCGATAAGCTTTGGCTTTTGTCTCTACTTTCGCTGATTGTGTCGCAAGAGCTGTATGGGTTCATCCTTTGCAGGGCCCATAACCCGAGGAATGACTATGTTCCTGTACATTATGCGCAGAACCGTTGCTTTGCAGTTGTCGGAATATCCAGGTTTATCGACCACTTGAACAACCGGTTTCCCGACCATCCTCAATGGCGGAAAATTGTGAGATTCAAGAATCATCAGTATTTGCGGTTCTAGCTGGAGGACTCTTCCCGAGGTCAAACTGTTTGCAGGTTCCGCTCGAAGGGGCAGAGGGGCCGGTTCTTGTAAAGAGGTCGACCTCTACGAATCCGTGCGATAAAGGTATTGTTCTATTGACATCGTACCTGTAACTTCTTCCGACTCCCTCAGCTGTTGCCGTCGTCTTCGTGGTGAATCCGGTGGAGTCGGTAGACCAGCCCAGGTTTGTGCCATATCGAGCCTGCGTTTATTCAACCGTAAGCTTCCTTAATGAATATGCTGGCTAAAGCAGGACGCTGTCGTCGCAAGAGGGTAGCGTGAGTAACAATTCTCCGCAATCACATGGTATTGCTGACTCAGCAAATCGGATTGGAGCAGGCGGTGTGACGCGATAACGACCATATCTTCTCGTCAACCCCTATACTCCTATTCCTCATAAGCCACCCACCATGTCCCCAGCCTCAGTTGACAAGACAAAAGACTTCCTCCTGGGCGAGCGATTCTCGGACATGAAAATCACCTGCTAAGGGCAAACGTTCAAAGTCCACCGTTTCATCATATGCAAATAGTCATTGTTCTTCGAGAATGCCCTGACTGGGCTCTTCAAGGAATCATCGGAGCAGACTGTCGACTTGTCCGATGACGATCCGGAGACGATTGAGGGTGTCGTTTCGTATCTATAAATGAACGATTATCAAGAAGATGGGCATATAGTGCCGTTGGGTGGTATATCGGAGCCAGAACAATCAGAAGACGAGACTGCTACAAGCGAGCCAGCAGATGTCGATTCCATAAGAGCCATTGGGAGCAACCATGTCCAGGTCTATATCGCTGCAGACAAATTTGGGATTGTCAACCTGAAGTCCCTTGCTAGAGAGAAATTTGCTTAGTGGACAAATGCCAACTGGGATTCTCCGGCATTTGTTGAGATAGTACAAGAGGTGGCAAGCTCAGTGCCTCCGCATGACTTGGGTTTTCAACATGTGATTGCCGATGTTATATCAAATCATGTTATTGCCCTTGTGGAAAAGGGGGCAATTCTACAGCTTACAGAGGCTTTGGGGAATATTGGGTCTGAGGTTATTGACCAATTGGTGAGGAGCAATATGGTTAGGGAAATAGAGGAGAAAGACTACGCAAGGTCTCTGCACCGGATTGCGCAAAAATTGGATGGTATGCGTTGTTGCGGATTCTGCAGAAAAAGGCTAAATGCGAAGTTGGAAAATGAAGAGTATTAACATGGTATTTTACGTTGTGGTTCGTGCCGTATGCAGGTTTGATCTCACAGATATCATGTTGCTTCCGGTTATGACAGTAGATAAATGATACATTAATCCAAGACCTTCATGCTATTGAAAGTATATATCCTGTACTCCTATGTACCATGCAATCGTCAATCATGAAATGGACTATGTACATGTGCCAATATGCGAATAAATCATAGATAATATACACCCACGTCAGGGTCATCATCGTCATTATCATAATCGTCAACCACCTCGTCTCCATTCGCAGTTTGCAAAGCAGGCTTCGACTTCTCCCTAAACCTCCTCTGCAAAACATTATCAATCTCCTCATCCTCCTGGATCCTCTGCTCAGTGAGAAACGCATCCGCAAACCCCACAGCCCTCAGATTCCTCAAGCCCGTCGCAAAGTTTTCAACAAGCGATGCTGTCGAGAACCCCAGCGTCGCTTCGAAAAATGGATTCCCGAACTCGAGTACTTCGAGTGCCAATGGCGGGGTCATGTAGTTGAGCATGTCGAAGAAGGATTCTTCGACTAGGTCGCCGGGGATGCTGAGGAAGTTCAGTCCAGGGAGGAAAGCGGGGATTGCGTTTATGGACTCAGGTGAGAGGTTGCGGTTTGAGCCGGAGATTGTGAGACGCGACAGGCAGGTCGCGAGGTGGGGACTGCTTATTAGGGAGCCGAGATTGTTCACGGAGAGATTGGAGCAGTTTTTCAGTGTCAACGACGTGAGAGAAGGAGGCCAGGTAAAAGACGGGATTGCGGTGGGCGAGAAGGAGCCGCTAAATTGGAGACGGTAGAGGCGTGATGGCCAGGATACCAATTGGGATCCTTGAGCTTGGAATTCATCGAGGGAGATAGAGCGGGGGAGTCGGAGAGTGAGGAGTTTGGTGAGGCTGCTGAGGGCCTTTTTGAGATTTGGAAAGGGAAGAGGTTCGCCGACGAGGGAGAGATCAAGGTGTCGGAGGTTGCGGCATTTGGAGAGGGCTGGGAGGCAGTTGACTCTGCATGCTGTTAGTGATGTTCCGCACTGCAATTGGGCATACAGACTCACGCAAAAGTAACACTGGGCGCGATAAACACCTCCAGATTCTCTTTCACTTTCCCAAGCAACCTCGATGTCATGCTATTCGAGCTATGATGCACAAGATAGCTCAAATCCAGCCTCCGAACCATACTCCCCAGATTCATCTTGCTCTTCCGCGACGCGACAGGCGGGCTGATCGTGTCGGTGAATTTGTAAAACGCCTTACCCCTGTCCAGCCGGGGTTTCTCGTAGAGGAACACGACAGCTGCTGAGTACCACTGGCGGGAAACCAAACAGCAGGCATGCATGGTTCTTTGGCGTTGCGCATTGTTGTCTGCGTTGGTAGCGGCGAGGGAGACGATCAGGAGGATGACTTCAGTAGGAAGATGGATTTGGCGGGGCGAGGTCGGATGCATGGCGGGAAGGCGTAGGCATGGAGTCGTAAATAGCCCATTATATGTCAGTGTCGATTGCGGCGTAGAGAAGAAATTGTTGTGGTGGGAGTGTAGTGGAGTGGAAAAGTGTTGGTGGTGAATTTGAGGCTATCGCCGATTTGCCCAGACCGGGCAATGATATCATCCTCCGCCAACTGGTTCTCTTCTCTCTTCCACCACTTCTTCTGCTCTTCGTTCTTCATATCGTTCGTTCATTTCTTTCTTACTATCCTTATCATTCTATAGATCATAATGAGACCTCAATTTCTCCATCGCTCGCTGGGACTGCTGCAGCGCATTCCCAATCGCTCCTTCGTACCAACTGGCTTGGGCTACAGGACCCTCAGTTCCTCGCCTCGCGTTCCTGACTTTGCCTTCGCTTTTGAGTATGCGGTATTCCTCTTACTAGTACTAGCAGTGCTAATAATGACCGTCTAGTATCGATGGCGTCCTCCTACGATCCTCAAAGCCCATCCCCGGCGCAGCAGACTCGTTGCGATACCTCAAAGAACAGAACATCCCGTTTATCCTTCTCACGAATGGCGGCGGAAAACACGAGACGGAACGAGTTGCGGAGCTTAGTGAGAAGCTTGAAGTTCCGTTAGATCCGTCGGTTATTATTCAAAGCCATTCCCCCTTTGCGGAACTCGCGGGTGCGTTGGAGAATAAGCGTGTGTTGGTTGTCGGAGGGGATAGCGATCGTTGCCGTCAGGTAGCAGAGAGGTATGTATACATCATCTGCTGCCAAGGAGGATATATGTTGACACAGTCAGGTACGGATTCAAGAACGTGATCACACCCGGCGATATCTTCATGGCCAACCCCGGCATCTGGCCAGTATCCAAAGTATTCCGCAGCTACTACGAGCAATTCGCCAGACCAATCGAGAATCCCAACCAGATCGATGCACAGGATCCCTCAAGAGGACTTAAAATCGATGCCGTTTTCGTCTACAATGACCCTCGCGACTGGGGCCTGGACGCACAAGTGATCATGGATGTTCTCCTATCATCGGAAGGAGTCCTAGGAACAATCTCGCAGAAGAATGGCCAGGCCGATCTCCCCAACAAAGGCTACCAGCAAGACGACCAGCCACCCTTATACTTCTCCAACCCAGATCTGTGGTGGGCAGCAGCCTACCCCCTTCCCCGTCTCGGACAGGGTGGATTCCGCGAAGCCTTAGAAGGCGTCTGGGCCGCAACAACAGGCGGACCCAGTAAAGGCGTTGAACTGAAGAAGAACATCGCAGGAAAGCCATACCAGGCAACATACGAGTTCGCAGAGCACCAACTCATGCGCAACCGATCGCGGTCCTTTGGCGGGGCTATCACCCAGCCTTTACGTAACGTCTATATGATCGGTGACAACCCAGCATCTGATATTTGCGGAGCAAATACCTTCCGGAGTATCCATAAGAGCGAATGGCATTCTATCCTCGTTCGCACTGGTGTTTACCGTGGAGGTGAACCTGCGTGGAAGCCGAAGACGATCGCCGATGATGTGCAGAAAGCTGTTGAATGGGGGCTTAAGTCTTCGAAGTGGTAATCTGCTTGGGACTTTGGGTGCACCCAGTCACCTCATAGATCCTTTCACCTTATGAAGTATGTCGTGTTGGATACAGCATATCTTATACCATTTGCATAGCATAACATACATTTTAGCATTCGAACTTGAATAAACTACTCTACAATGATCGACCATGAAAAATATTGTCTTCATTCCATTTACTTTTCTGCAAACAAAGATGCATCAACTTAGATATATAACGGGCGTCGACGCCTACAATATCCATCTCTAATACCATACTCTAGAAACAATGGCAACATACAACTTGGGTAAACAATGATAATAAAACAAGTCCGATTCAACAATCAACAAGTATGCCGTGCATAGGAAGAACCCATCTTTGTAAAATTAAGACAATATAGAAAAGAAAAATGAAAATATGAAAACTCGCTCACTAAAACCCTGCGTCCGGCTACAAGACAAGACGAAAAGAAAGCGTAAAAAGTTTAAAAAAAAAAAAAAAAAAAAAAAAGAAAAGAAAAGAAAAGAAAAGAAAAAGAAAAAAACAAATAGGTATGAATGTAAAAAGAGAAACTAACTCAACGACGCAACAACAGCAGCAGCAACGCCCTCTTCTTCCGCTCGGACAGTAATCTTGGTCGTGACGCCAGTCTTAGTCGAGTAGGCCATCTTGATTAGCGATGCGACTCGGCCTCCCGATACTGTCTTGCCGAAGAGTTTGAGGGTATGCGTGCTGTTGCTGAGGGAGACGTCGGTTCCCTCGAGGGGTTGCAGGGAGAGTGTGGCGATGAGTTGTTCCGTAGCATCTGGTATAGTTAGCTTTTGATTCTCATTGACGAAAGTAAAGAGAAACATACCCGTAATGCCCTTCATGTTACTGAGCTGAAGAGTCTCGCTCAATTCCTCGCCGTTCGCCCCAGTCTGTTCCCACACGTGATCGAAGCTACCAGCAAATGTAGGAATGATATAGTCGCTACCCGTAAGCTCCAGATCCTCGACCTGGTACTCATCGTCATAGCCGCTTGCCTCGGGCTCACCGGTGGTAGGATCAACCTCCTTGCTAGTGAACTTCAAGCTGTTGGTGAACGAAGTAACAGGCACGCTGTTCTCGCCAGCAAGCTTCTTGAAAGTCACGTAGACGATACCAGGCTCGTTGGTGGCAAGCTTGGGAGCGGGAACAATGAATTCCTCCTCCAACAGGTCCTCTTCCGCCGGCGCAACAACCACGTTCACATCCTCCAGCACGGTATCCGGAAGGGTGTTCTTGACGTCGTATTGCAGAACAACGTGCTCCTTGAAGATGTGCTTGACGGCAGTAACCACGTACTCCGTCTCGCTCTCGGTAAGCTCGACAGGGCCAGACGACTTAAGCAGAGTGCCGTATGCCTTGAGCTCGGGGATCTGCATAAGCTGCTCCGCGTACTTTTGGGTTGCAGCAGCCGTAGAAGCCTCGGCCACACCACTGGCCTTGCTCTTGGGAGGACCAGTAGAAGGAGCCTTGAGCGTGGGGGTTGCCGTCGTGAGCTTCTTGGTCCGCTCCTCGGCAAGAGCCTGCTCCTGAGTAACAACAGGGATGGAAGAAACATCGAATGCGGCGGCGAAAGTGTCCTTATCCGACGATGTCACATACATGACGAGCTGGTGCTCAAACGTGGAGAGCGAGTACATCGAGTCGTTCTTGATGAAGTCTCCAGCCTTCTCGTCTTCCTCGCCCATTAACCGGAGATTAAGAGCAGCACGGTCACGCACTTCGTCATCCGTATCATCCAAGCACCGTGTAAGGAGAACTGAAACACTGGACTTGACCTCGGGGTCCTTCTGGCCAACACCGAACTTGGCCAATGCAGTGACGGCAGCAGCCCGGACAATAGCGTTCTCAAGTACAACCCGGTTGTAGATGTAACGGATGTACTTGGTGGGGTGCGAGGTCTTGGGGCCCTCCACACCAAGCAGATGCAAGATCCGGACAGACAGCTTGGTGAACTCACAGTCCTCGATGAACTCGCAGAGGTGTGCGAGAGCATCCTCCTTGCTTTCCGGAACGAACTTGATCAGGTCGAACATGCTCTCCACAACACTGCGCTTGAACTCGTATCCACCCTCGTCCCGGAGGATACCACTCAAGAACGAAAGCATACCGGCCTGCTTGCTGGGGAACTTGAGACACAAGGTCCGGATGGCCTCGACAATGGTGATCTTGAACTCATCCGTAGTGTCAGCCATGAAGCCGGAAATCTGCTTCATAAGACGGTCGACACTAGCCTCGTTTCCGGTCTTGAGCAGAGTGGTAATGGCAAAGGTAGCGATGGAACGGTTGCTGTTAGAGATCAACGACTCGATATCGGGGTTGCAAACGTTGACGACATTAGGCTTGAACGACGCAAAGTTGTGCAGGATTCTGATAGCGGCGAACTTGGTGATAGCCCGGGGAGACGAGAGGAACAGCTGCAGAACATGGACAGCCTGCGAGGCTTCGGCATCGGAGACATCGCGCATGTCGCAGATAGCCTTGGCGGCCTCAAAGTTGACCATCTCATGCTTGTGCCGCAGCCAGCCATCGAGCATCTGCATCATCGGTTTCCTCAATCCCTGGTCCTCCTCTGCCAGCTTGGCAGCCAATCGCACCAACAGCACCAGCGCAGCCGGACTCTTGACCACCCCCGCAGCACCGTACTGCTGCACCATCTTCACCAACGACATGCGGTCGTGCGAGCGCATCTGGTACAGTAGACCAATGGCGTGGTATTGGGTCATGAAATTCGACTGCGAGATGGCGTGGGCCTGGGAACCGCCGAAACCAAGGAAACCGGTCGACTGTTTGCCGGACGAGGCAGCCTCCTGAGTCTCACTCTGCCATCTGCGCACCACATCACGGGAGATCGGAAGAAGGTGGTAGGAGGACACCAAAGCAGCGGAGGAAACGGAGGGGGTCTTGTCGACGATGGCGGTTTTGATGAGACGCTCGATACCTTGAACTGTGGTGGCCTGCCGGAGTCAGTACCCAGACCATCAAAGAGAACAGCGAAGAACGTACATCAATAATCCGACAAAGCGCCCGAATCGCATTCGCCCTGTACAAAACATCACTACCAACAGCCGTATCCTTCATGATAATACTCGTCGACATGATCGTATCCTCCGCAGTATTCGCCAACTCCTTAAGAATCAAATACACCATCTGTCGCAACGAGGGGTCCTTATTCTGGAACAGCTTCGAGATACCGAAAAACAGCGTGGTGGCCTCGTTCGTCGGGAACTGCTCCCCGGTGAACAGGAGAACCGCGATCTTGGTCAGGAGGGTGCGACATGTCCGGGGCGAGATGGGGGAGGAATTGAACAATCGTGCTGGTCCAGTTAGCAACGGCAATTAGTTGCAATATACCCCGGAAGGCTAAGGGAGAAAGGCCGTGTACCATCTTGGAAGACGGAGGTCCGATCAAGCTTGATCATGACCTGATCCGCATCCTCATCTTTCTTAACGTAACTCATTATTATGTCGGGTGCTACTGTATTCAGTAGCCGAACTTAAACGCGTTTATTTCTTTTTAATCGTCCAATCGGGTATATCGAGCGTAGTTGTATTCGCCGTTGGGAGAGGAGAGGTATGGTTGGATCAGGAACGGGGAGTGGAGGTGGATAAGTGTTAAGTCGAGTTGGCAGGAGTAGCTAGTAGTACGTATATGGCGGGTTAGGCACTCGACTACCGCCTCATATCCGGGAGAAACAACAAAAGCCAAAGAAGAAAAGGACAATAAAAAAGTCCGAAGAATTCGTCCCAGACGAAAAGCAAATTGAGGCTCTTGAGTACAGTAGAGTTGGCTGAGTGTCTAACAATCTCCAGGTGGCCTTCCGGAGCGTTTCTGTGGGCTCCGGCCACGTGAGGCGCGCTGCAAACAATCCAAACACGCGGGCATCGTCATCAAGTATAACAACTAAACTAAACCACTTCACTCGTTCTTTCAGTCATTGCCAATTATTTTCAATATGCAAGTCGAAGTCAATCCCAACGAAGACACTGAGTGGAACGACATCCTCCGCCAACATGGCATTATCCCTGAAAAGCCCAAAGATCCAGAACCCCTAATCCAAGAGGCGCTGGTCGAAGCCGAACACAAAGCCCACGAGAACAGATTAGAAGATAAAGATCTCGACGAGCTCGATGAACTCGAAGATGAAGAGGACGAGAAGTTCTTAGAACAATACCGGTACTTCTTCGCCCAATTAACATAGATTCAATATGCAAATACTAATGGAACAAAGGCAAAAACGCCTCGCAGAACTAACAACCCTCCAAACCACCGCCATCCACAACCAAGTCTACCCCCTCCAAAAAGTCGACTACGGCCGAGAAGTCACCGAAGCCTCAAACCAGTACTTCGTCCTCGTGCACCTCTCGTCCCCCTCCGGCGGCGCAAACCCCGAGTCCCGCATCCTCTCCGAGATCTGGCGCCAGGCGGCAGCCAAGTTTGGCGATGTCAAGTTCTGTGAGATTCGTGCGGATATGTGTATTGAGGGGTATCCGGAGAGGAATACGCCGACGGTGTTGGTTTATAAGGACGGGGAGATTAGGAGGCAGTTGGTTACGTTGAAGGAGGTGGGGGGTGTTAGGACGAAGCTTGGTGGTGAGTTTCTTTTTTGCTTCTGAGCTTTCTTTGCTTCTGAGAATGAGGGTGGTTGCTAATGGTTGGTCATAGATATCGAGCAAATGCTTCTTGACCTAGGAGCGCTGAAAGAAAGCGACGTCCGGTTGAAGAAGCGATCCGACTCGGACGAGGAGGACAGCAAGGCTGAAGAATATAACGTGGAAGACTACGACGACGATTGGGATTAGTTTGTTAAAGTGATACCAGCATATACAGCAATAACATTGTATACCATTTATGTCGAAATCTATGTTTATGAACCGGATATCAATTGATCGAGAAATGTATTATAACAAATATTCAATGTTGAAGCAAGTCCATGTCCATCTCATTTAACAGTATCAACAACCATCCAACACCATATATACCAGTAGTCTGCTCAATTGCCAATAAACATAACCCGAAATAGACTGTCCAAAAACTCCACCCATAGCGCCCAAATATCAAACAGAAACAAAAGGTCACATCATCAACACCCCAACAAACGTCAAATTATACTCCCTCCGCACACCTCTCAACAGCCTTCCTAACCTCCCCCTCCGGAAACGCCGGCCCCTGCCCATTACACTGCGCAATCTTCTTCAATTGCGCATGCACATCCGCGATATCCACCAGCCCCCGCTTAAACAGCTCATGCTCCTGGATAAAGTCCCAGGTCGCACCCGCATCGAGCAGTTTCTCGCCGGTTAGGGGGCAGGTTGTTCTACGGTGGCGGGGTGTACCGGTAGTACCTTGTTCGCCGGGTGTAGAGGTGGAGGTAGAGGAGGGTTTAAAGTCGAGGGGTTTGTAGACCATGGGGCCTGTTGTTGGTTCGGTGGGGGGATTGGGGTGGGTGTTGTGAGGGGAGTTGGATTGGGTGTTTTGGGATGTTGCGCGGAGGATTTCGTTTTCTGTCGCGAAGCGTGCTAGTTCTTGCTTTAGGCGTTCGTTGTCGATGTGCAGGGTGCTCGATGTTCCCTCTAGGTCATTGACCTTTTGCTCTAGATCGCGGACATGTCGCTCTTTTCGCTCGCGGAAGGCTCGTTGACTGTCACCCACACCATGTCAGCCAAACATTAATCACCAACCTAACCCAATCGTATTCTTTTCATTTTCCCCCAATGGATGAGGACAAGGGAAAACATACGCAGCCCGATTCTGCGCCTTCCTCTTATTCGGATCCACAACTCCCCCATCCTTCTCCTCACTACTACTCCTACCCAAACTCTCCGCAACACCAGTACTGCTCTGACTCTGCAGATTACCTTCCGACGACTGCTTCAGCGATTCTGGTGGTGAATGTGGCGGTGGCGGGTTCTGATGATGATGGTGTTGTTGCTGATGCTGGGGAAAAGGTGTATTGGGATCTAGCCCAAATCCCAAGTCAAAGGGTGCATTATTATTGTTGTTATTATCGTGTTCATTATTGCGGTAGTTCTGGTCAATTCTTGTTAGGTTTCTCAATTTATTGCAATGCTGGGATCGAATGGCATACCAAAGCGGCGGCAATAAGGTCATCGGCTCCATGAGGGGCTTGATTCGGGTCGGGCGTGGGTAAGCCGTGGAGGTCGTACAGCGAGAATGGCTGCGAGGGTGTGTCGGGAAGATACGAGTAGTCCATTTCACTTGTCTCTATAGCTGACAGCAAGACATAGTAGAAATTCAAGTTCAAGGGTCCGATAACGAAGAATGCGTAGGATCAAATCTCCGGGCGGTGAGGACGGTTCGCCGCCTTTTCGGGTCTGGAATTACGGATTAAGCATTCAGGAGTGATAGCGCGATAGACGAATTGATTCTGTATGTATGCAGACTACAAGAGAGCATCCGATCGGCCCTTCAAATGTGACCGTATTATGAATGACTCCACTCACGAAGATCAGATAAGATGAAAGGGGATAGAAGGCATGCATAGAAACCAGTTTCAAAAAAAACGCAACAATCTAAACAATGCGAGTCGACGCTTAACCACCCCGGGCGCGACCCTATCCATGTCCGTCGCCAGTAAACCTGATGTGATGAGACGTCTTCCCCCCAGATCGCGGACCACGCTTCAACTGCTTATCCACCTTACTCGCCTTCTCCCTCGTTGGCGTCCGTAATCATGTAGACAATAAAAGCGTGACCAGAAGCATCCGAAGTTCATGTCGTTCTCAACAACCACACTCATGAATCTCTCGAATCATCCCCTCGTCCCCTGTTCGCGTCGACTCCAAAACATAAAACACATAAAACAGCAGCAAACGCATGGGGAGCAAGAAAGAAGCACAAAAGAGAAAATGGGGGAAACCCGCAAAGATCAGCTTCAAGCATCCAAGGATCTCCTCCATCGACAAGTTGTCATCCGTCGGGTTTGCAATTTAGTTCAACAGGAGACAACCGTCATTTTTGGCTTTGCATCTCCTTCTGTCCACCCTTCCGGTCGTCCGCAAGAACATCGAAAAGAACTCCGAATGTTGAAAAATCAGAATAGCCGCACAAACCGGAAGGGTAAAGGACATAGATAGCCACGCAATTTTTTTTCTCTTTCTTCTCTTTCGGTTCAACCAGTCTCGAAATAGCAATAGTCGGCTTCTCTGCTTGCTCGTCGCGTGTCGATCATTCCTGGGTCGATTAAATTCAGAAAGCGAACGAAGACAAGCCAGAGCAAAGAAAAACCACGGTCGAAATGGTCTCGGATCGAAAAAGATAAGCGAAAATAACGGGATGGTGGGCTAACAGAGGGTGCAAAAGGAAATAGGAGAAAGAAAAAAGAAAGAAAAGAATCCGGAGGATCCAGTAGTAAGGAAAAGGAAAATAAGTATGTCGAAGGTCCGTCGCAAGGCCGCAAAGGTACCGGACAGAAGTAATCACGTTGGGTTTCCGGCCGTCTCGGTCTGCATGGTGTCCACATGCAGAGAAGATACCGAAGTCGTCACAGAAAGAGAAAAAAACTGCTATGCTGCAACGGATCAGTACCACTCGCCAGCACCGTCCCGCCTCGCGCGACTACTAAGTCCATAACCACCAGCAACCTTGGAAGAAGAACGCAGCCTAACGCCGAAGACTATGAGATTAGTCAGATTCTGAACAACCATTTATCTTTGGATCTTGATTAGACAATTTCAGGGGGGAGGGGATTTGTCGAAGTAATCCCCATTCAGATACTCACATCCGGTCACTTCCACCCACAGCACGGCTAGTCTCGGGGGTGTGTTCGGCAACCTTGCGGCGCTGGCTGGTGATGCCACCAGGCTGCTTAACAGCCGGACCCATGGGGGTACCACTGACGCCCTGGCGGCGCTGCTCCTCATCCTTCTTGTTGGCGTCAACAATCATGGCGGCGTTCTTCTGGTACTTGTAGACGGTCCAGTCGAAAACGTAGTCGTACTGGAAGGACTCGCGGACGAACAGGTCCCGGAAAATCTTCCGCAGGTAGGAGTAGTCGGGCTTGTCGTCGAAACGCAGGGAACGGGTGTAGTTCAGGTAGATGGCGAACTCGTTGGGGAAACCACGGCAAAGGACCTCGGTGGGGGTGGTCATCTTCTTCTCCATGATACGGTCGTACTTCTGCTTCTTAGTAGCGGCCTTCAGACCCTGCCAGGGAAGGGAACCACGGCAGAAGTAGAGCATGACATAGCCAAGGGATTCCATATCATCACGGCGGGACTGCTCGACACCCAAGTGGGTGTTGATGCTGGCGTAACGCGCGGTTCCGGTGAGGTTTTTGTTCTCACGGTAGGGGATGTGGAAGTGCGTCTTGGGGTCACGGTATTTCTTCGCGAGACCAAAATCGATGACGTTGACCTGGTTACCACGCTTGCCGATACCCATCAAGAAGTTGTCCGGCTTGATATCACGGTGGATAAAAGATTTGGCGTGGATGTACTCGATCCGGGAGATGAGCTGGTCGGCCAACAGAAGAACGGTCTTCAAGGTGAACTTGCGGTTGCAAAAGTTGAAGAGATCCTCCAAACTGGGACCGAGCAGGTCGATGACCATGGCATTGTAGTCACATTCGGTACCGAACCAACGCACGAAGGGGATACCGACACCACCGGCGAGCGACTTGTAGACACGGGCTTCATATTCCAGTTGGGGGTGTTTGGCCTTGACGCTCTCGAGCTTGATGGCAATTTCCTCGCCCGAGATTATGTTGGTACCTAATCACATTAGAATTCCCATCCTTGCCAATTGCCATTGTATAAAGTTGAGGACGCACCGAGGTAGATATCACCGAACGAACCGCTTCCGATCTTGCGGCCGATACGGTACTTGTTTCCGACACGTAAATCCTGACAAGTCAGCAGTTATCCAGCAACTGATTGGTATGAGATAAGCATACCATGGTGGTCATGTTGGCGTGAACAGGATGGCACAGCTACCGGCTGTGCTGGCAAGACAGGGGCTGCAGATCGTCAGCAACTTGACTCCGGGGTGGGATTCTGATCAAGCAAGAGTCGAGAGAAAGAGAGAGAGAAGAAGTTGATAAACAAAGGAAAAAAAACAAAAAGGAGAGAACGAGGAGAAATAGACAGGTAGAGAGAGTAAATGTGATAGGGAGAGGTCAGAAGACGAATAAAGAAAGAAGAGGGGAGGCACGGTGAAAAGCCCAGCCGCCGCCAGCGCGTATTACTTGGCAGCAGTGAATTGCGGAAATCAAAGCCAGGCAAGTACAAGTAATAGCATAGAACAGTGATTAGAACAATAGAAATAGTATAGATACTCACCTAGAGTTAGGGGGCGGGGGGGGGAATATTGGTGAATATTGAAGAAGAGAAAGACGGAAAGGAAGAGATGGTGAGATAGCAGTGATGTCTGCTCGAAACCGCCGACCGTAGTTAAAGTGGTCCGACCGGGTGATGGCAAAAAAAAAAAAGAAATTGAATAAACCCCAACAACAGGGCAGAAACAAGTCAACAAATAATCAAGGAAGCCTTCAATATCACTAGTCTCAAAACCACAGAAGAATAATTACAGAAGAAGGAGAGAAATAAAATTGAGGGGAAAAAAAAAAAAGACCAAAAAGAAGGGGGCAGACCAACAGGGCAAAATTACCGCCCCAAAAACCACCAAAGTAAGAAAGAAGTCGGTGAGATCCTATTCTATCCTGGTATGTATTCGTATTACCAGTACGGTGTTTTGGGGCATGTCTCATAGGGCGTATGTCTATTTATACTGGTGAATCATCGACTGCCTTACCATACCCGTACTATACTGAATACGATACATTCGGGCATCAGTATGGATATGCCTGACCTCCCTACAAGTACATACTCACTGACAACTCCGTAGATATTTAACAATAATATAGCTACAGGTATAGCTATCACTGTCTTGTATCAATACACCACCGCTCTTCTGGCGTTACAGAATCACACGAGTTCCACTGCAGCCGGTTGATCGCTATCTCACCTCGCCGATGCGAATCCTGCCACCGCCGTATTCGGGACTGCCGTTAAGGGCTGACTTTGTATACCTCAGGCAGGATCTGTATATGCAAGCCCTCGAGGCACAGGCCACTGCCAACTCACTGCATTCGTACTCGATCAACCGTTGGGCATCCGATGGAGAAAAAAGACACTCATGAAGAACAATTAAAATTAACAGTCGATTCATCGAACAGATAAAATATATAGAAAAATGGTAGTAGTCGTACAGTCGGAGCCAAACACTTTGGTCAAACAAATCGAACAGAGATCAAAATGGGTATAAGAACCAGCAGAGAACACATTCATAAGAAAAAGAAATGAGAGAACGCTCCTCGTCCACAAACTGGCAAGAGTAGCAAAAGTTGTACAAAAACGACAGATAAGAACGAGAATGAGAATGGGAACCTCAACAGACATGCCTTTTTTTTTTTTTCCAATGTTTTCTTGTTTTTTCTCGAATCGTTCCATCCCCGGATGCGTAATTAAATCATGTTCGTAGTGTCCATGCCATCACCGGGCTTGCTAAACTTGCCCCGGTCAGCCGTACCAGCAACAGGCGACTCAGCTCGCGGCGACGTATCATCATCCAATCGTCGCCGCCATTCCGCCAGGCTGTCACTCAGCCCACCGCCATCATGCGTTTCCTTGGTCGGGGTGCGGTCGATGTCAGACTGCGTGCTCAACCGGTAGTTATTAGTACTCTCCCAGTGGGTGCGGAGAGCCTCCAGCTCATTGGCCAGAGAGTCCAGCGCCATTGACCCACGGTTGTCCGGGAACGAAGGGTCGTCGTCCTGCGAGACGTTGCTATCCGCGCGGGTCCGGCCAATCGTGTTGCTCGATGCGTTGCTGTGGGTGCGTAGTATGCCGTTGGGGCCCTGCCCGCCGTGCTGGGACTGCCGACGGTAGTGGCCGACAGAGTTCTCTACTTGGTCCAGCAACATGGTCACCTTTTGCTCGGCGTCGGAGGCACGGGTCTCCAACAAGTTGTTCTCTTGCTTGAGCTGCTCTAGTTCGGCACGGCTCCGGTCCGCAAACGCAGAGAGCTTTTGTTGCATGCTACTGTATTCGGATCGAGACTTGACCTTGACCTCCTCCGCAGAGGCCAGGTCCGTCTTCAGCTGAGCAACCTGGCGCTCCAAGTTGGCAATGGAAGCGTTCGTGTCCTGGTCCAGGTCGGACATGGACTGGTTCAGTCTCGAGCGCTCCGTCTCCTGTCGACTAGCATCCAACTCCGACTGCATCTTAACACTCTGTGTCTTGTACCGGGCAAGCTCATCCTTCATGCGCTTCAGCATCTTCTCGGTTCCCTTGACGTAATGGACGGCCGACTGGTAGTCATTCTCGAGTTGCTCCAACTTCTCACGGTAGGCCCGGTCGCTCTCCTGCTCGCGCGTTTCAAAGAACACCTTCATTTCATCATGGGACTTGAGACTAGCAGACAGCTGCTGCTCCAATTCCCGAAGTCGACCCTGCTCCGGTGTTCCGTATCGCGATCCCGGGGAGTCCAGACGAGGCGAGCGTCGGGTGTCGGACGCGCTGCTTCCACGCTCCCCAAGGAGATCCTTCAGAGCAGAATGCTGGATGGCCAGAGCACCTGCGTCGCGCTGGTTGTTCTCCAGCTGACCCTTGAGCTCCCGGTTCTCCGTAGCCGCCGCCTGGCTCTCCTTCATGACTGTCTGGAGCTGGCGTCGAAGCTGCAATCCTTCGCGGCTCGCCTGTTCCTGATACGCTTCGAGGCCGGCAATCCGCTCCTCTGCACGACGCAGCTTGTCGGTAGCTTGATCAGCGGCAGCCTGGTTAGCCTTGGCCAACTCGTTGGCCCGGGCCACGTGAGACTCCAATGCCTCCACGCGCTGGTCCGCGACAGAGCGAGTGGTGTTCTCCAAGTCAAAGGACGATGCTCGCTCCAGGCCAGACAAGAAAGCAATCTTGTGGGTTTCTGCTTCCTTGGCATGACTCTGAGCCAACTCCTCAGCGTCGCGCAAACGACGGGTTGCATTGTCCAAGTCCGCCGTTCGCTCGTCGTATTCAGACCGCAACTGCAGCAACTTCCGCTCAAGGCCTTCGCGAATCTCTCGTTCCTCATCCAACTGCTTCTCAATGAGCGTGGTTTTGCCGGTAGAAGCCGCCACGGCCTCCTTGAGGGTTCCCAGGTTGCCACCATAGTCCCTCAACCTAGTCGACGACTCCTCAAATTTCCGTGACAGTTCCTCCTTGTCAAACGTCATTTGTTTCAAGGCCGTTTCAGCCTGGGAGCGCAGCAATGATTCTTCTCTCGCAGCTGCTTCAGCCTGATGAAGTTCCGCCCGCAGACTTTCCATCTCGAGCGAATTGGTCTGCACTTCCAACTCGGCAAGACGCTTCCGGGTGGCTTCACTTGTTTCCTCAGCCAATTCTCTGGTTTGTTTCTCCTGGCCCAGTTCTGTTGTCATGGTTTCCAGCTTGGCGCTAAGTTCCGCATGCGCAGCCAAGACCATGGCCAATCGTCGACTGATATCCGTTCCACGCTCCGAAATGGTGTCATCGGGATCCCGAGCGGAGGCGTCCGGCTGTGGCGTGCCCCGTTGACTGCCGCCATGCGCAGCGAGTTTGGCACGAGAATAAGCGGCTTCGTTAACTGCCAGATCCCTCTGATGTTCAACTTCTGCAACGCGTTTCGATGCGATGGCCGCCTGGCGATCCACAGTGGCCTGCATCTTGGCGAGCTCCGCTCTCATTGCAAGGAAAGCCTCGATCAAGGGACGGTCCTCATCGGAGAACATGTCAGGGGTACGATCGTTTACAGAGTTCCCGGATGGGCTGGGGCTGTATCCAGACTTTTTGGCCAGTGCCAACTCAGAGGCGTACCAAGCATTGCGGCTCTTTGCAGCATCCAATTCCTTCATCAGGACTTCCTGATGCGGAGTCAGTTTGGGCGAGCGAGGCTCATCGCCAGTGCCAGTGCCGGTGCCGGTGCCGGTGCCAGCGCCAGTTTTGGAGTTGCGGAGACTGCGGGAATCAATGGAGCCATCAATACTAGCTTGACGACCTAGGATCGACTCGTCTGTGCTGTCGAGGGAGGTGCGCTGTCTCTGACGCAACGAGCGTTGCCGGGCCGGTGCACTGATCAGAGGGGCCGCCTCGCCAGCTTCCATGGCTTTGGCAGACATGCGAGATTGCTGCTGAGTGGGTGTTCGGCGATCGCCTGGCGCGGGAGCAGCGACTTGTTGCTCCTGAGCAACAGGTTTAAACTCTTGAGAAACAGGTTTGAACTCCTTCGAGGTTTCTCTGGCTGCGGGCGACTCTCCGCCCCTCTCAGGGCCCATATTCCGCATGGCTTCCATGGGTGGACTTGCATATCCGCGCTCCGGCTTGGTTGGTGTTTTGCTCCGTGGGTTCATGATCGGTTGCGGTGCGGATCCCCGAGGCCCTGGTGTGGGAGCCTGACCAGGCGGAGGTGGTCCAGACGGCGCCTGTGCAATGGATGCTCTAGGGAGTCGCGATCCTGGACTTGGGCTTGGGCCCTGCTCTGTCGGCCTGCCATTGGGGCTCGCCACCATTTCGCGCGACGGTACTGGGCCTCTTCGCGGTTGTTGCTGCACCTGCTGCTGTTGCTCCACAGGGGTATGATTCTGCGCTTCCCGTGAGGTTCGACCAGTAGGGCTATTTTTGTCCGCACTCATCTTCCTCATGCCGGGACCGGCAGTTCCGGTATTCTGAGCTTCGACAGGATAGCGGATCTTGCCCGTATCCAGCACGTACGCCATGCTGAGCTCGACGGGGTCTCTGGGAGCGGAGCTGGGCTCACCGGCCATGACAATGATTTGCTTTCCAAACGCCGTCATGCTATGACCGGACCGCGGAGAGGGTGCCGGTCCCATGTTCTGGAACGAGTACCATCGTCGTGTGGAAATGCGAAAGGCCGCCAAATCGCCCAGATCCATACCCTCATCGGTACGTCCACCAAAAACGTACATCACATCGCTCACCAACGCCGCTGCGTGTCCCTCTCGAGGTGTGGGGATGAACCCGACACAGTCCAATTGGGACCACTGATTCGCGCGGGGATCATAACACCAAACGTCGTTGAACCATTGTACGCCATTCGTTCCGCCAAACCTGCGCTCAGTGAGTCAGTAAAAACAATGTTCAGTCAAAGCGGTTGATCTAGTGAACCGAAAGAGGGGGTTGTTGTCTTATTCCGTACAGGTATAGTCGATCATTGTAACTGACTATTGAGTGATTCGTTCTGGCGGGCGGTATTTCTCCTGGTGCAGGACCTCCATCGTGACTATTTCGAATCAAGAACTCCCATTTGTTGTTCGGATTCTGGAGCTGATTGAGGTCAAATGCAGCCAAGTCGTTGAAAAAGAAGCCCTCGACCTGTCCACCGAAGACGTATAACCTGGAGCCCAGTATGTTCAATGTATGACCGTAACGTCCAGAAGGCCGTGTGCCCGGAGGGATAGCGCGCGACCATTGTCGGGAAGCTAGAAAGTTGGTTAGATATCTTCAATCGCAAGG